ACATATTGACACACATGACCAGGATCCCTATCACTGGGGCACAACATATTGACACACATGACCAGGATCCATATCACTGGGGCACAACATATTGACACACATGACCAGGATCCATATCACTGGGGCACAACATATTGACACACATGACCAGGATCGACATCACTGGGGCCCAACATATTGACACACATGACCAGGATCCCTATCACTGGGGCCCAACATATTGACACACATGACCAGGATCCCTATCACTGGGGCACAACATATTGACACACATGACCAGGATCCATATCACTGGGGCACAACATATTGACACACATGACCAGGATCCCTATCACTGGGGCACAACATATTGACACATGACCAGGATCCCTATCATTGGGGCCCAACATATTGACACACATGACCAGGATCCATATCACTGGGGCCCAACATATTGACACACATGACCAGGATCCATATCACTGGGGCCCAACATATTGACACACATGACCAGGATCCCTATCACTGGGGCACAACATATTGACACACATGACCAGGATCCATATCACTGGGGCACAACATATTGACACACATGACAAGGATCCCTATCATTGGGGCCCAACATATTGACACACATTAGCAAGGATCCATATCATTGGGGCCTAACATATTGACACACATGACAAGGATCCATATCATTGGGGCCCAACATATTGACACACATTAGCAAGGATCCATATCATTGGGGCACAACATATTGACACATATGACAAGGATCCATATCATTGGGGCCCAACATATTGACACACATGACCAGGATCCATATCACTGAGGCACAACATATTGACACACATGACCAGGATCCATATCACTGGGGCACAACATATTGACACACATGACCAGGATCCACGACTTAAAGGGGTTTCAGGGTTGTTGGGTACATGGTTCCTCATTACACAACAGGTCTGAAATTAGTTTCCTGGTATCAATACAAATTGTCCAAATGTAGTTTTAGAGCCCATGCTTGCTGTAAAAGGCGACTATGCTTGTTGTAAGAGGCGACTAACGGGATCGGGTGGTCAGGCTCGCTGACTTGGTTGATGCAGGTCAGCGATCCCAATTGCGTTGATCGATGCTCATGATGTCAATCACTGGATTGTCTGGTCCAGATTTGATTATTTATAGCTGAAATATTGCTGAGTGCAGTGTTAAACAACAAACAAACAAAATGTAGTTTTCCTTACACTGACATATAAAACCAATATTTCAAACCTTGCTCACTCATCTGAGAGAGTTCTGTGTTCTGCTGCTGCATGATCTAACCTAATGGCGTAATTTATGTTGTCTTGCCTCCATGTCAGAATGTTGAGATCTGATTGGTTCATGTGATGTATCTTTTTTGAGAAGGGAAATAAATTTCTGAGTGGGAGAATAAATCCCTTAAACCCTGCCATGAAGAAAACAGGCTGCATGTGTTTTTCTGAGTGGGAGAATAAATCCCTAATACACCGTTATGAAGCAAAAAGCTGCACGTTGTTTACAAGTCAATAAAAATCATGTGACAGTGCACAAGTTAATCTCAGCTCAGGATCCATATCACTGGGGCACAACATATTGACACACATGACCAGGATCCCTATCACTGGGGCACAACATATTGACACACATGACCAGGATCCATATCACTGGGGCACAACATATTGACACACATGACCAGGATCCCTATCACTGGGGCACAACATATTGACACATGACCAGGATCCCTATCATTGGGGCCCAACATATTGACACACATGACCAGGATCCATATCACTGGGGCCCAACATATTGACACACATGACCAGGATCCATATCACTGGGGCCCAACATATTGACACACATGACCAGGATCCCTATCACTGGGGCACAACATATTGACACACATGACCAGGATCCATATCACTGGGGCACAACATATTGACACACATGACAAGGATCCCTATCATTGGGGCCCAACATATTGACACACATTAGCAAGGATCCATATCATTGGGGCCTAACATATTGACACACATGACAAGGATCCATATCATTGGGGCCCAACATATTGACACACATTAGCAAGGATCCATATCATTGGGGCACAACATATTGACACATATGACAAGGATCCATATCATTGGGGCCCAACATATTGACACACATGACCAGGATCCATATCACTGAGGCACAACATATTGACACACATGACCAGGATCCATATCACTGGGGCACAACATATTGACACACATGACCAGGATCCCTATCACTGGGGCACAACATATTGACACACATGGCCAGGATCCCTATCACTGGGGCACAACATATTGACACACATGACCAGGATCGACATCACTGGGGCACAACATATTGACACACATGACCAGGATCCCTATCACTGGGGCACAACATATTGACACACATGACCAGGATCGACATCACTGGGGCACAACATATTGACACACATGACCTGGATCCCTATCACTGGGGCACAACATATTGACACACATGACCAGGATCGACATCACTGGGGCACAACATATTGACACACATGACCAGGATCCATATCACTGGGGCACAACATATTGACACACATGACCAGGATCCATATCACTGGGGCACAACATATTGACACACATGACCATGATACATTTCACTGGGGCACAATATACTGACACATGACCAGGTTCCATATCACTGGGGCACAACATATTGACACACATGACCAGGATCCCTATCACTGGGGCCAAACATATTGACACACATGACCAGGATCCCTATCACTGGGGCACAACATATTGACACATATGACCAGGATCCATATCACTGAGGCACAACATATTGACACACATGACCAGGATCCATATCACTGGGGCACAACATACTGACACACATGACAAGGATCCATTGCTGTAAAAACATAAAAGGAACATGTGCACGTAATCGTAAAGCCCAAGAAAGCATGACAAATTACACGTAACACAGGGATTAGTGATATGGTATGGTAAATAAAGCTAAGAGGTAGTGGGTGTGTTCAAAGATCGATGTTGTGTGGAAAAGTAAGGGTAAGTCAGACACAAATTTGAATTTTTTCACGTGTACTTGGTGCCTGTAGATATAAATATCAGGTTGCATTATTAATATTAGGTTGCAATGGCGGCTGTTTTATAAAGCTAATGGATCCCTGCTCAACAATCATGTCCTTCAGTAGATCACCTGACTAAAAGTCAAATGAACTTGTGACATTGTGTGTTGTCTCCCACCCTTCTGTCATTACTTTGTACATTTTCGACATCTTTTTTATCCCTGCTGTGGTTTCTCTAACAGAATTAGGATAACAAAATTGAAAATGCCTCTTTGGTTTATTACTCAGGCAGTTCTGCCTGCATTATTAGGAACTGTGATATGCAGTAAATACCTGGTATGCGAAATAATAAGTATTATTTACCCATGCACAGTATGATTTACCCGAAGTCTCTGTACAGTGTTATTTACACTATGTTTCTGTACAGTATTATTTATGCTATGTCTGTATACAGTGTTATTTACCCTGTCTGTGTACAGTGTTATTTACCCTATGTCTGTATACAGTGTTATTTACCCTGTCTGTGTACAGTGTTATTTACCCTATGTCTGTATACAGTGTTATTTACCCTGTCTGTGTACAGTGTTATTTACCCTATGTCTGTATACAGTGTTATTTACCCTGTCTGTGTACAGTGTTATTTACCCTATGTCTGTATACAGTGTTATTTACCCTGTCTGTGTACAGTATTATTTTTGCTATGTCTGTATTCAGTGTTATTTACACTATGTTTCTGTACAGTATTATTTTTGCTATGTCTGTATACAGTGTTATTTACCCTGTCTGTGTACAGTGTTATTTACCCTATGTCTGTTTACAGTGTTATTTACCCTGTCTGTGTACAGTATTATTTACACTATGTTTCTGTACAGTTTTATTTACCCTATGTCTGTGTACAGTACTATTTACTCTGTGTACAGTATTATTTACGCTATGTCTGTATGCAGTGTTATTTACCCTATATCTGTGTAAAGTATTATTTACCCTGTGTCTTTATACAGTATTATTTACCCTATGTCTCTGTAAGTATTATTTACAGAGAGGACAAGTTAGCTTACTTGTATTTGACAAGTCCAGTAATTTATACATTCAGTGAAACTATTCTGATAATTTCACAGAGAATATCATTTCTCTGCCGTAATAAAACCCTGGATTTGTAACCCCTGATATGAATTGGTAGTTCATTTTAATATCAGATTCTGAAGAATGCCAGAGTGAAAGTTGAATAAGTGGAAAAGTTAAGATTTAATCTTTTCTGATAGCATGGCACTGGACTTGTATCCGATTGCTTGCTTGGGTGTCCAATTTTTGAAATCTGAAAAAACTACAAGCATGTTTGCTATTTCATTTCGATTTCATTAAAGCAGCAATTATGTAATGTACTTTCAACTGCCCCAATGCACTTTAAAAGTACTATGGTGCCTGTAAGTTTAGCTGAGAGAATGGTGATTTATTGCAAGGGGGATGGGATGGGAGGTGGTAGGGGGATGGGAGGTGTGGGGGGGGGGGAGGCAGTTGGATTGGTCTTAGGTCTGTATTATGTTTTGCAGACCCCCTCTTTTTTCATGCCCCCCCAAAAAACATGTAACATTTTTTCTTGACGTCCCTCAATAATTATCCCACATTTATAACTTTTTTATTTGAATCATTAGAACTGCGTGTTTGTTTTCTTGCCCCCATCCCTGATATTGTTGTCATAAATCTTTACAGTATCCCCACAACCCCTCCATAATGACCGGTCCCTAGTGCCTGCTGACATTTTCCTAAGAACAGCTTAAGGCTGGTGCTTTTAATTGCTGGCTGAATTAATGTTTTCCTGCTTGGTTTATCAGTTGTTGAATCAAGCAATACTTAAGGAAATAATTTCAGTTTGTTAAAAAGTTCCACATTGAAAGTGAAACTCCTTGTTTGCTTCCAGAGAGACTAGATGCTGCAGCTTGGCTTGGAGTAAGATGGTATGGATGTACCGACAGAAAAAAAGAATTCTGGTAGGACGTTTCGACGCTCAATCAGTCAGTCATTCGAACGATATGGGTAATTATGTTTTAGTTGAATATTTAATCCTACAACGTGTGCCAACAGGGCATCAATGTGACATTTGGATGTAAATTATTTATGAGACAATGATGAAGAAGAGACAATACATTGTAACCATGGGAACTGATGCATATGCTGATACCATCTCTGCCCTTAAAGGGGGACTCATGTGCACTACATGGATGGCCTGCCAAGATTCTGTTGACATTTGAAGCAAACAGTTACTTTAGACGAACAGAAAGCAGTCCTATGGCACGACTTAAAGGGGTTTCAGGGTTGTTGGGTACATGGTTCCTCATTACACAACAGGTCTGAAATTAGTTTCCTGGTATCAATACAAATTGTCCAAATGTAGTTTTAGAGCCCATGCTTGCTGTAAAAGGCGACTATGCTTGTTGTAAGAGGCGACTAACGGGATCGGGTGGTCAGGCTCGCTGACTTGGTTGATGCATGTCAGCGATCCCAATTGCGTTGATCGATGCTCATGATGTCAATCACTGGATTGTCTGGTCCAGATTTGATTATTTATAGCTGAAATATTGCTGAGTGCAGTGTTAAACAACAAACAAACAAAATGTAGTTTTCCTTACACTGACATATAAAACCAATATTTCAAACCTTGCTCACTCATCTGAGAGAGTTCTGTGTTCTGCTGCTGCATGATCTAACCTAATGGCGTAATTTATGTTGTCTTGCCTCCATGTCAGAATGTTGAGATCTGATTGGTTCATGTGATGTATCTTTTTTGAGAAGGGAAATAAATTTCTGAGTGGGAGAATAAATCCCTTAAACCCTGCCATGAAGAAAACAGGCTGCATGTGTTTTTCTGAGTGGGAGAATAAATCCCTAATACACCGCTATGAAGCAAAAAGCTGCACGTTGTTTACAAGTCAATAAAAATCATGTGACAGTGCACAAGTTAATCTCAGTTCAATTGAACGTCTGGTTTATATCAATTTTCAATTTGTTTTAATTCTTATACAATGGCAGATTGAAACGTGTTGTCAAGATAAATTCCTTGTAGCAGTATCACTCGGGGTATGTGGTGTAATGTGTCTTACCTGTCTTCTGGTATAGAACCACACATAGGACTCATAAAACCACATGTACCCCTCGTGATACTGCTACAACTTCTATAGTCTCTAGGGGGTGGTCGGGTAGCCTAGTGGTTAAAGCGTTGGCTCGTCACGCCGAAGACCCGGGTTCGATTCCCGACATGGGTACAATGTGTGAAGCCCATTTCTGGTGTCCCCCGCCGTGATATTGCTGGAATATTGCTAAAAGCGGCGTAAAACCATACTCACTCACTCCCTCACTCTATAGTCTCTAAACAATCAGAGATTGAAAATGTCTGTGCTATCATTCTGAAGATACATGTTATGCCTGTATGATTTAAGTCCAAGGTAAGGAATGTAAACCATGCAATCATCCTGTCCTTCATGTTTTGGGGTTCAGTGTTTAAATTTTATGTACACAGCCTTTTTCAATACTGTAAATCTGGAAATTTATGTGTCTCCAAATTAATACGACTGCTGATCCCTTTAAATGACATTGTTGTGTACTTGTTACAACTGCTGCTTCATAAACCGTGTTTGTGTTTATATTCATTGGTATTTCCGCTATCCAAAGTGTGCAGTGAGACTGTCTTATTGTTGACAGTCATTTGGAGACATAAATGCGAAGTTAATTAATGCGAGCAAAGACACTCGCATTTTCACACTCACGTTAATTTCAAGATTTACAGTAAATGAATCAATGAGTGAGTATCAGGGTTCTTCTAATATGTCCACCTGTTTCTCAGAAGGGTCAGATTGAGCAATGTGTTGAGAGGCTTATGCAAGTTTGAAGTAATATTATGTGGGTTTTATTCTCTTCAGTTTATGAGATTCTTCTGAAAGCAATTTCGTAGAAGATATATCTATATTCAAATATAGACCAATGCCCTGAGGGACTATACTCCACACAACTGTTCACCTTGATCCTTTATGCATAATGTGTCTCTTCCGGAATTTAGCTTGGAAACTTTTGAAGTTGTCGCTATGGAATTCTTTTTCCTTTTTTTTTCGGTTTTAATAACTGACGGTCCAAATCTGTTTCCTGTTCCTTCACGTTTCTATTGGATGAAAAACTTCGGGGATAAATTTTAATCATACAATAAATCTAACAAACATGTATTAAACAGTCCCTGACCATATCCTCTTGTGAAGATCCGGAATAGAATTGATCATCAGCTGAAAGAGGCGACTATGCTTGTCTTAAGAGGTGACTAACGGGATCTGGTGGTCAAGCTCGCTGATTTGGTTGATGCATGTCATCGATCCCAATTTCGTGGATCGATGCTCATGATGTCAATCACTGGATTGTCTGGTCCAAACTTGATTATTTACAGACCACAAAGTAAACAACAAACACACACATTTATCATGGCTAGTTCCTACTCATTTTTTTCATCTTCCTGAGGCAAGGGAGTTAACTGACTTCATAAGTCGAGTTTCCACCATTGATGAATTAGGATGGAATTTCTGGGCTCGATCATAGCGCCACCAGTGGCAGTTACGAGTTATGTCCCTTCTATTGACCAATCAGATTCTATCTCTCAAATGACTTGCATTTGCTTCAAACAAAATGGCTGTGCCCAGTCAAGAATATCTGATCGATAATCAAGACCTTTATTGTGTAAATGGGTCTTACCCCGCACAGTGCATCAAATCACTTGAGCGCCTTTGTTGAAAACATGGAAATATTTGGAAATTTTTTATTGACGCCCAGTTGACGGCACAAATGCTTTGCAAATCCTGCAATCGACCGAATTCTGCACGGCAGTCGCCATGTTGGTTATGAACTGAATGTCAAACATAAAGTCAGTTTAGCAAGGGTTGAAACTGGACTTTTAAGTCAGTTAACTCCCTTGCTTCAGGAAGATGCATTCTTTTGGCGACAATGATTTCAAGAAATGACCCCAGGTTTTGCCCTTTAGGAGTATGGTTGATGAAATTACATGCTTGGACATTTTGACTTGTTAACAATTATTATTCCATCTATATAAATGAAACATGAATCTATAGCCTGATTAATATTGTTTTTATTTAAACAAACCTGGAAAGTGTGCCCCAAGTCGGCACCAAGTGTCAGTAATAATTCCCACTTTGGAAGTTAGCATTTCCCCGTTGATGCCATTATGTGTACAACTAATGTTAATGTGGAGGTGTCTTGTATTAATAATGAGGAAGAATGAGGAATGAATAGGTAACATTGTTGCAGTGACTTCATCATTAAGATTTGATGTTAAATACTTTTTGAAATGGAAATAAGGCCTTTGAACAAAGTAATTATTTTTCCCAATTTGTCTGCCAAGGATACTTTGTTTGGAATCCCTAGATAAATCTCAGAAAAGTCATTAGGAACCCAATGGCCCTACAGGACACAAGATCTTTTATACTTGAAGCACTTAATTGTTGTTTCAAAGAAATGTCCCTACATTGCTCAAATGTGGACTAACCATTGTCACCTTCTCATTGTGATTGGATTCTTGGGAGTGTGGGATAACTGGTAGTAATGCAGCTGTTCATATCAAGTGTCACCCGACGATATTGCTGCAATATTGTGACCTCGCTCGCTCACTCTGTGTTTGAAATAAGGGCCTGCCCATTGGCCCGTGGCAGGTAGATCTCGTGTCGGGCCTGTAGTTTCAACGTTGTATGGGTCCTTGTGGCCTGCAGTTAATTTATGTGTCGATTTATTTGTCACAATAAGATGCAGTGTTTTAAATGAGGGCTTCAATAGTTTAGTAGAGGCCTGCAGTTTCTATAGTCTGTGAGTTTTGATGGCAGCCTGGTAATTTGTTTGTTTCGAACACACTTGCTCACTCACTCACTCACTCACTCACTCACTCACTCACTCACTCCCATCCACCCACCCACCCACTCACTCACTCACTCACTCACTCACTCACTCACTCACTCACTCACTCAGCAATCGGTTTGATACCCATGATTTACCACGGCTATTTTCCTACTAATCTTTTCATCTTCCCCGATGTAAGGGAGTTAAGTGACTTTTAAGTCGAGTTTCCACCCTTCCCGAATTAGGATGGAATTTCTGGGCTCGATCGTAGCACCACCAGTGGCAGTTACGAGTTATTCCCCTTCTATGTCCCTCCTATTGACCAATCAGATTCCATCTCTCAAATGATTTGCTTCAAACAAAATGGTTGTGCCTAGTCAAGACGATCTGATCGATAATCAAGACCTTTATTGTGTAATTGGGCTCACTCACTCACTCACTCACTCACTCACTCACTCACTCACTCACTCACCACCCAACCACCCACCCAACAACTCACTCATTCACAAATCCTTCTTCCTTTCCTGCAGAATTCGAGACCTGGGTTTCGACAAGGTGCCGATCACCTACAGCAGCTTGCTGTCCCTGGCGACATGCTCGTGGCTCACCCCCATCATGCTGGCCCTCTGTCGACGGGGGGGCGGCGGTCTGACCTCCGTGCTCCGCCTGCAGTGGTGGCCAGAAGACACAACCCAGCACAACATCGACTTGTACGTCACAAATCAATTGTTTAATTATTGTTGTTGCTATTTTGTTATGGAATTATTTTTTTAAGTTTTGAAAATATTATATGCAATATTGCTGTCAAGGGAAAAGCTATGTCTATTGAAACATACCATTACTAATTCAGGTCACTGGAAGGTAGGGAAAGCATTAAAAGAATAGGGGGAAGTATTTGGTTTAGTCATCCATCAATTGTACTCCAACGCTTCAGGATGAACCTTTGAGCACAGTATGACAGGAAAAGGGGGTATATATTTTAACATCCATTTACGCTCAGCAGATATGCTCAGAAAGTGACAAACTACGTACAAACATTCCAAGCCACAATAAAACCCTTAAAAAAACCTCATTTTTGGAAAAATCGAATCCAAATCCGAAACAAAATATTTCCCCAAACTGTCATATCAACAGTTATCATTGGTTAAGATATAAAACTATGCAAACAAATAAGCATAGCATCCCAGATTTATATTTTTGGTTAGATGTTAATATGGTTTATGTGGTCATAAAACCACTGGAATTTTTGAAAGTGAGAAGAATTCATTCACTGATAAAAAAGGCAAATTTATTAGAATTTATTACCCATAGAGTTAGACAATAACTGAGATTATAAAATCATTTGTGCTGTTAGTGTAAATATTACTTGACGCACACCAATGTATTGTTTTTTTTCATCCAGATGTCATTGTTGACGTCATTTGAGTCTTAATATGATTTAAGGTTGGAATGACTTCATACTAGAAACGACATCATGCATGTCATCGTATCCCAATTGTGCAAGTCGATGCTCATGATGTCAATCACTGGATTGTCTCGTCCAGACTCGATATTTTACAGACTGCCGTCATATAGCTGGAATATTGCTGAGTGCAGCTTTAAACAACAATCAAACAAACAAACAAAACATAGAATGCATGACCATGCATACTTTATAAGCACTGTAGCATCTGTGACTACTTAACAGGGCATCTGGCATACCAAAAGGGAGTTGTCACCCTGGTAGTATTACCTAACAACTTAGAACACTGTTGGTGCACGCCTGTCTTATAGTGTCAGTTGTTTAAGCTCTATATAAGTATAGGTTCATGATTCAGGTATATCCAGGGAAACATCATTGCTGTTGTTTTGTATTTAAATCATTGAAATCGGTTTCATTAGAATTCTGAATTATCTCCCTTGACCAGGTTGGAGGAATGCTGGAAGGCAGAGTTGAAGACTCACGGCGAGGAGAAAGCATCACTCGGCCGTGCAATCCGGGCAGCTTTCAAACAGAGACTCATCTGCTCACAAATCCTTGTTGTCATATCCATGGTGCTCTCCTTCGTTGCTTCTGTGAGTAAGAGATCGGGGTATAGACACATCGTGTTATCCGAGTCAATGATTTCATACATTGTGCTTCATGCTGTAGGATCTGTATTTAATAATTCAAGGCATTTTGATGTCATGAATCTCTCTGTTATGAATGTACAAGAGAGATGTTTTAAAAGTGTTTTCAATGAGTTGAAGTGTTTGTCACTGTGGTGATTTCTCCAAATAAGTCATGTTCTCAGGGACAGTTTCTACACTTGTAGATGTGATGACACATTAGTAAACTTGTTGTCAAGTCCTTGAAGATATGTTACGATGTAGTGGTGGCTGTGGGGTTTGTTTATGGGTTTGTCTAGTGAGAGTCGAGGAACCACTGCCTAAGGGGTTGTTCCTCCAGTGGAAACAGTTTCAGGGGATAAAACACCTCAAAGAAGCATTTCAGAGGAGGTTCAAAACTGTTATTATCCTTTTTCAGTCCCCTTTGAAAAGTTTTCTCCATATTGTTTCCAGGCTTGCATCTTGCGTCTGCTCTTGGACCATGTGTCGTCTGCTGCCCCAGTCATGGCAGACGGGGCGGCCATTGTGGTGGGCCTCATTTTATGTGAAGTGTGCCGGAGCCTCACCTTCTCCTGTGCCTGGACGTACAACTACTGGAATGGTAGGTCCACTGTTGTGTTTCGGTATGGCTGGTAGGGGTTATAAAGTAGTGATCTTGACAGTGAAGTTCCCCCTTTATGTATGTAGAGGAGGACAGCCTCTCTTCTAGTGGTAGAGCTTCTGCCCAGAGACTGGTCGACATGGACATGTCGCTATATAAGTGCAAAAATCTTGGACGCGACATTAACCCCATTTCACCTCACCTCACCTAGAGGGACCACAGGCGACCATAGCGTCGAAGGTGCCGCAATTCGCTGTGCAGAGTTGTGTCCCTTAGGCACGCCAGAAACCTATGATAACGAGTTTCAATCCCTGTTCGCCTGGTAGGGGTTATAAAGTAGTGATCCTGATGTACGTACACAGTGAAGTACCCCACCCTCCATGTACCTTGAGGGGGACTTCCTCTCTTCTGGTGGTAGAGCTTCTGCCCGGAGAGCGGAAGGTGTGGGGTTCGATAATCGGCCGCGTCGTACCAAAAAATATTCAAAGATGGTACTTGTTGTTACCCAGTCTGGCGCTCGGCATTCAGGGGCTAAAACAAGGACTGGTCGGCTCGGAGTCAGTATACTGTGTCTGAGCGGGGTATTCATGTTAAACTGCGGCATGGTATCTCAGTGGGCTAGCACTATAAATAGGCATCAGTCCGGACTAGTACAAGCAGCCACACACACACACATACACACACACATGCATGCATTTCGCTATATAAGTGCTATGATCTTGGACGCGACGTTAAACTCCATTTCACCACACCTCACCTCACCTCACCTCACCTCACCTCACCTCACCTCACCTAGTGGGAGCACAGGCGGCCATGTTGTCTAATGTGCTGCAATTCGCTATGCAGAGTTGTGTCCCTTAGACATGCCAGAAACCTATGATAATGAGTTTCAATGCCTGTTCGCACTGATTATGTTTCTAGGTTTGTCAGCACCATACCTGTGCTCGTGGGTTTCACCAAAGTGGTAAACGTCAAAGACCTGCATCACTCCGGGCTTTCCTCCCTCTTTAAGCTGACACCCTGTGATATTTCTGGAATACTATTCAAAACACCGTTAAACCAAACTCACTCACTCCTCATGTACCTGGGCAATCTACTACACGAATCACTGTCTCGTACTTTTCCTTGTAGATTTCATGAACACCATGTATTTCGTTACATTAGGTAAATTGTATTTTTCAGGGATGAAAGTCAGAAGTGCCACCATGGGTCTCTTATACAAAAAAATACTCAGACTGAAGAGTCTTAAAGACAAAAAGATTGGTGAAGTATGTTTTTTGTCGGTGTTGACAAGTCGAATTTGCTCAAATTATTATGTACAGTTTCTTTACAAGATCTTGCTAACACAGTGTACAATTGTTAGGTTTCGCGAAATTAATTAACATGATTCATCTCTCAATTCAAGAGTGTAATATTTCATATATTTGATTCAAATAAATTGTGAAAACACAACCACCATTCAAGCGAGATCTATATGCTGTTATATTTAACTTAAGTTGTTTCTGTAATTATGAACATATTTTTTTCAGCTAGTCAATTTATTCAGCAATGATGGTCAACGTTTTTTTGAGGTGATGGTAAATGGCCCATTTATCATGTCTGGACCAATCATATTCATCGCAGGATCGGTATACCTTGGCTTTCTGATTGGCCCCTGGGCTCTGATAGGATGCGCTACCTATGTTATATTCTTTATTGTGTTGGTAAGCTATTTCTCTGTAAAACCAAGATCAATGATTTACTGATTTATGATTAATTCAAGTTATATTTATTGTGAGTTAAATTCTAACATCACTTCAAAATAGATTAAGATTTACAGAAGTAGTAAATGTATTTCTCCAGGCAACACAAGATAAGATTTTCACATTATTTTTATCTGTTAACAATTTTTGCTTTTTTATTTTATTAAATTCTGAAATAATGCATTGCCTTGTACTCATGTGTGTTCGAAAACTTGTTAAAAAAGTGAATATGATCACTATTTTATCTGTGTTTTATTTACGTGTTCTCAGCCTGGTGTTTTAATTTGTGTTACAGAAGTTTGTCGCTGATTTGAATGGATACTTTAGACAAAAAGCTGTCACACTTACAGGAGAAAGGGTAAGCTGGACACAGTCCAAACAATCAAATAGAACAATTCGTGAATTGGATGCCAGTGTATGCCAATGCAATCAGAGATCAGATTACAAAACTTCAAAACCAGTATTAGCCAATCATATGCCCGGATTCTTTAATAGGACACTAGTGCAAGTCAGTGAGAAACATGGGGATAGGGTCCAATGAAAACAATGAAATGTCAGAATACAGGAATATTATGAAAGTGTTCATTAAATGTCTGAATACCACTGAATATTGGGCTAGGACACCAATATTAGCCAATGAAATGCCAGAATACTTGCATGGCATGCCAGTCTAAATTTAATGTCTGAGTATAACTAAATAGAGGGTAGGACACCAGTGTCAGCTAATCATATGTCTGAATACTATTGAATGTCGGGCTAGGACAATGTTAGCCAATCATATGTCTGAATACTATTGAACGTCGGGCTAGGACAAAGTTAGCCAATCATATGTCTGAATACTATTGAATGACTCTCAGCCAACCAGTCCTTATTTTAGCCCCGAGATACCATGCCACAGTTTAACATGAATACCCCGCTCAGACACAATATACTGACTCCGAGCCGACCAGTCCTTGTTTTAGCCTTTGTGACGAGCGCTAGTGAGGGCAACAGCAAGTACAGTCAAAGCTTGTTATCCCGAACCCCGTTATCTCAAATGTATTCTACGGTCCAAATTGCCTCACTAAATAAATTTGCCTGCTTATCTTGCATTAGAGATAAAAATACATGGTGCTATCTTGAATCTTGGACTTGATCCCAACCGTGACTTCACTATTAAATTTGTTCCCTTATCTCAAAGTTGGGGGGCGGTCAGGTAGCCTAGTGGTTAAAGTGTTCGCTCGTCACGCCGAAGACCCAGGTTCGAATCCCGACATAGGTACAATGTGTGAAGCTCATTTCTAGTGTCCCCCGCCGTGATATTGCTGGAATATTGCTAAAAGCGGCGTAAAACCAAACTCACTCACTCACTCACTCAAAGTTGACATTTGCCACATGAACAGTTTTGAGAAGCGCAAGTATGGTGCCTTTCCCCACACGTCTAATGTCACTGTTCACGTACAGTGCAATTTAAGCCAATAGTACAACCAATTAAATCCAATTGTAATGTAATCTTTATTGGCAAGTAAATCATTGTGAGTAGACATGAGTAAAACCATGGCGGAACTTCCTAAAAGATAATCAAAGTCGGACTAAAGGAATCAAAGCCGTGTGATGCTATTCACAATATCCCCACTGGAAGTTAACAAACTTGAGACTTGATTGACACGTTGCTGTTTTTGTCAAGTGGACAGACTAACTAGTGATTGCTGCTTAGTGTAATCAGGTACTTATACACTGTATATGAACTGTCGCTATTGGTAATCATTAATCAACTGGTCATTACATACGCATACTGTGTACTTACTTTCTTATGTATGCAATTGTATTGCTATGTTTCTATAATACTCTTACTTGATATCTCTGGATGTTCAGCCTTGTTATCTCGAATGTTCGGATATCTCGAAGTTACAACACGGTCCCGCGAGGTTCGAGACTACGAGGTGTGACCGTGTGTATCAACATCTTTTGGTGTGATGCTGCTCTGAGATTGTACCACGGCCTTCTCTCTTCGAGCAGATGCTGTATTCCTCACACAACAATCTTTGGGACAATAATCTCAGCAACTTGAATCATGTATAAGCTGTATTTTTAACCTACTTCGTGAAATCATCTGTTGAATATTTGTCTCATCTCTGATCTACTTTCCAGGTGAGCCTGATGACTGAAGTGTTGACCTGTATGAAACTTATCAAGATGAATGCATGGGAAAATGCGTTTTTTGGCAGAATCAGCAGTAAGTTATGTGATGTGTGTATACTTATGCTCATGATGTCAATCACTGGATTGTCTGGTCCATACTTGATTATCTAGGGACTGTCATCATATAGCTGGGATATTGCTGAATTTGGCGTTAAACAACAAACTTGACTTTATGTAACAAATGTTATATTTGGGATAACACTTTCTGAGTAAAGTACAGATTCTCAGACTTTTTTTATAATATATATTTTTGGGGGGGTTGAGTCCCGTCTGGGATTCGAACACACACTGCCAGAGTGAGGCACCTAATTGCCAGTTTGTGTTCAAACTCAACTTGATATTTGTTCCTGGAAAAGTACTTTTTGAAAGCTTAAAATTAAGATTGTGTCGTATGTAATCACATGTTTAGTGACCGCCTCCGTGGTCTTGTGGTAGAGCGTCCGCCCGGAGAGCGGAAGGCTTCAGGGTTCGATCCCGGGCCGCGTCATACAAAAAGACGTTAAAAGATTGTACTTGTTGTTACCCTGTCTGGCGCTCGGCATTAAGGGGCTAAAACAAGGACTGGTCGGCTCGGAGTCAGTATACTGTGTCTGAGTGGGGTATTCATGTTAAACTGCGGCATGGTATCTCAGTGAGCTAGCACTATAAATCGGCATCAGTCCGGACTAGTACAAGCAGCCACACACACACATACACGTGCATGCACGTCGCTATATAAGTGCAATAATCTTGGACGCGACGTTAAACCCAATTTCACCTCACCTCACATGTTTAGTATGACATGACAATAGCGATGAAAACATAACTATAGGCATGTGTGGACTGCATTATGCCTTGAACAGATGAATGAACAGATGTATGACATGTACAGACATTTACGTTGATGAAATTCTGATGAAATTCGGGTTCAATTCCCGACATTGGTACAATGTGTGAAGCCCATTTCTGGTTTTTCCCCGCGTGATATTGCTGGATTATTGCTAAATGCGGCATAAAATCATTTTCAAGAAACATAACTCCAATTGACAGACAAATCAGAAATTAATATTCCTAAACAGCCTGATTTCTGAGGTTTTCTAGTAATTTTGTACATTGTCGATCATTACATTAAACATTTTTCAGATAAGCGTCTTGAGGAACAGAGGGCTCTGGAACACGCTTACTTCCTGCAGAGCGTGATGACATCACTAGTTCCCATGATTCCCGTGGTGGCCTCCGTGTTCATGTTCCTTTCGTACATCATGGCGGGCAATAATCTCACAGCCACACAGGTAATGAGCGATCTCAGGAGATTTGATTCGAAACTGTTTCAGTTACAAAATGTCAGCCGTGAGAAATGACTGCTCCAGAGATGTGTTCAGCGGCTTTATCAGTCATTTGGATTCAAGACCGCCTCACTAGAGGTAGTGAAGCCTCCCTCCATGTACCCTGAGGGGGACCGCCTCTCTTCTCGCGGTAGAGCGGAAGGTCCGGGGTTCGATCCCTGGCCGTGTCACACCAAAAGACGTTAAAAGATGGTACTTGTTGTTACCCTGTCTGGCGCTCGGCATTAAGGGGCTAAAACAAGGACTGGTCGGCGCGAGTCAGTATACTGTGTCTGAGTGCGGTATTCATGTTAAACTGTGGCATGGTATCTCGGTGGGCTAGCACTATAAATCTGCATCAGTCCGGACTAGTACAAGCAGCCACACACACACATACACTTTCATGCACGTTGCTATATAAGTGCAATAATTTTGGACGCGACGTTAAACTCAATTTCACCTCACCTCATTTGGATTCCTGTCAGTCAAGTAAGATATGTGACCCTTGTGGAGAGTCTGGATACATGAAGTCCCTCCAAATCCATATTTATTGTAAGAGACATTTGAAATGAAGATGGGATTTTTACAAAGTGATCAAGTCTTGTGGTTAAAGCGGTTGCTCAACACGCCTATTCCCCACATGCGTACAAAGTGTTTAGCTAATTTCTGGTGTCCCCCTGTCGTGATATTGCTGGCATATTGCTAAAAGCAGTTTAAAATCATACTCACTCACACTTGTACCCAACCTGAAAGGGTGGGGGTATTAGAGTCGAAGTCAGGGGTATTAGCAGTGTTCCTGTTGGGTTTTGAAACTGACGTCCTGGTGGACTGGCAACTCATGGGGACTGGTAATTTTTAGTCAGTCGCAACTTTCAACAAATAAATGCAATGACGTCATCTCTGAAGTAACTTAGTTAGATTTACACATCATTCACACGAAGTTCAGTCACAATTTTCTCGTTTTTGTTTTGGTATTCGAGACTAAGTCACTACAAATATATATTTAACCTCAAAGCAAAGCGAAATTTTCTTTCCTTGCACAAAAAATAGACAACAGGAAACTCTGATGGTAACAGACAAGCTGACTTTGTTCGAAAAATATACTGAATATCACCAATGTTTTGTTCAACAACAAAGATGTATAAGGTACTTTATTTGCCAGTCCAAAGGGACTTGCGGTCACATGAATTACCGGTCCAAGCCTAATTTTACCAGTAAAAAACTGGTAATTACCGGTAAATGGGAACACTGTATTAGTTAGCCCTGCTTACTTTTTGCCTTGTTTCTTTTGCTTTTAATCACTGGTTTGTCTGGCCCAGACTCAATAATGTGTGGGCCACAGTGATATTGATGGAATATTGCTGTCTGCTGCTTGAAGCAGCATTCACTCACTCTGATGATGCAACAGTCTATTTATGGCGGTGTTCATTCCAGGCGTTCACCCTCATCTCCGTCCTGTACTCCATCAGCCTCTCCCTGGCTCTGATGGCCCACGGTCTGCGCACGCTGGCCGAGGCGTCCGTGTCTACGGGCAGATACAAGGTAGGCTAGAATCAGATATACCAAAACATTTCATAGATTCATAGAGGACATTTCATGTGTCGAGTGAAATATCATGTTATCATGTTTCTCTCATCGAGTGAAGCGGGGAAAGGAGATATTTTCACGAGTATTTTCATCCTCGTCCTACGAGTTAAATGAAATTAATAGTTTATAGCGAAACATTTTCAAGAGAATAACAAGAGGCATGAAGCGATATTAACTCCATAAATGATCATCTGTCATTATTTTGCCTTGTCATTTAACAGCCATACCTTCCCTACTTTAGGGAGCAAGATTTCCAAAGTGTTAAACATCTAAGACCTACATCACTTTGAGGTTTCCTCCCAAATTAAGCTACACATGATATACCGTATTTCCTCTATTAGAAGCCGGGCCTCTAATGGACGCCGGGTCAATTTTGTGTTTGTAGATATCAGTAGATATATCTCAATCAATTCTCGAAGTCCGTAGTTGAATCTTATTCGTGACGATTTGGGACATTCGTGGTCATAGTGAAATGGGGGTATTGATAGATGCCTGGCCTCTAATTGACACCAGGTCAAAGGCTTGTCTGAAATAAATAGAAGCCCGGGCATCTAATAGAGGAAATACGGTATCTGGAATACTGTTCAAAGTACTCCCTACTCCTAGTCCCAATTCTCAGGATAATGATTTCACAACATAGAACACACAGTTCACTTTGAATGTAGCTGGTAAGCCAATATTTAGGTTTTGAGATTTTTAGGATGGGCATCGAATGCTCAATAACATCTGAAAATCTGAAAACACCTGACATTGTAATTAAGAACAGATCCTGGTACATTTCTCTACACACTCCAACCATTGAGACAGACATGATGGCACTTTTGGGAAACTATGCGTTGAGATACAATGGAGGATGTCGTATGTTTCCATGACAACTAAATAAATTATTTTGTGTTTGTGGAGTTATATATCTAAAGCACAGTGTGCACACTTTATGTAAATCTCTTATGTGGATTTACACTGTATGCACACAGGTTTTGGTGTTTATACCTCCATAAACAAAGAAGATATTGAAGTCAATTCTGAAACAACTTAACATTTGCTTTCTCTAAATTGTTTGATAGGCATTACTTAGAAGTTGACGGATGACAAGGTAGACACAATTTTATGGATAACAACTTCTTTAATACTGTGAAAAGCGACGTTTCGGTATAGATCCTTATACTGTGGGAGGCTTTTCCTATGAACGGGAGGGCGATGCGGAAGGGCGCTGATTTGGGTTAAGGGTCGAGCCCAAAACCAAACCAAACGAGCCATCACCTTTCTTCTGCTGACCCCAAGGCTGAGATCTAACACTTCCGCCAAATCTTCACCCACTTCAACAATTATCCACCCAATCTCATCGACAAAGTCATCGCCTCTGTACTCCATCCCACACCTAGACCTGCGACCCTTAAACCCGAATCTGCGCCCTTCCGCATCGCCCTCCCGTTCATAGAAAAAGCCTCCCACATCATCAGTTTGCTTTCTCTGTTATCAACCTGTAATTAATCTTAAGACCGCATATATTTCCTATTTTACCTCTCAATGTTTGAGTCTGGGCACATGGTCAATAGTGGTGTAACGATTTGGCGATGCAGTATTGTATCACGATACAAGTCCCTCGATACAATACATTGATTGACATTACGACCCCTGTATCACACGATACATATGATACATTTCATGACCCGTAAAAGGCGGCTATGCTTGTCGTAAGAGGTGACTGATGGGATCAGGTGGTCAGACTTGCTGACTTGGTTGATGCAAGTCATTGTATCCCAATTGCATAGATCGATGCTCATGATGTCAATCACTGGATTGTCTGGTACAGGCTCTAATATTTACAGACTGACATCATATAGCAGAAATATTGCTGAGTGCGGCATTAAACAACAAACAAACAAACATTTCATGACAAGTTGTATTGACGTAAGACATGTGAATAGTAACAGAAACTGTTCAACCACCAGTTTTTGCATGAGTTTGACATAAACAGCATCACTGTCACAGTGCCCTCTACTAATATGTTTCTTCCCTACAATAATCCATCTTTGATTTCTGAATTTAAAAATAAACTGTTCAGCAGTTATTCACCTGCAAAATGAAACAATATCAACTTGTGAAATATAAGTACTGTATGGGGATATGAATCGTATCGCACCCATAGTATCAGGATATGTGTCGTATCGCGACCCCTCCATATCGTTACACCTCTAATGGCCAAATAAGAAATGACCAATGACCAGACATTAAGCTGTCCGTCCACAAGGTGTAAGTACAGAGGATATGGTTGTCTTGATACCTTCCTAGTTCTACCGGCTTGGAAGTCTTTGATAGGCATGTACAAGTTGGAACAGCAAGAAGATTCTCCTGTTGAAGGGGAAAGAAGTAGCCGTGGAACATTGTCACAATCAATAAAGAAATAATTTGTGTTTACCCTCCAGGAAGTCCTTGTGATGGAGGAGATTCAGAGCGTGTGTTCTCGGGACCTGAGTGACGAGGGGGCCGCCGTCACCTTCCACAACGCTACTCTTGGATGGGAGTCCGATAATGACGATGACGGTATGAGTTATAAATTTCATAAAGTTTTTGTCAAATACAACTCTCTGTGGAAGAATTTATTGGATTTTTGTTCTCCTTTATCAAAACTTAGCAGAATACTTTGTTGATCTCATTGAAATATGTTATGTGTGACATGTGAAAGGTATTATTATAGGGAGTTGCTTGGGGCAGCAGATAATTGAATTTGGCATGATATTGTATAAAAAACAATTGTAACAAGTTTCTGAGCCCATGATGGGATTCAACCACAGACCTTCTGATCCGAGGTCGGACACCTTGTCCACTTGACCAAAGAGGTTAACCGTCAACAAGCTGACAGGGTAAGGATGTCATCTGTGAGAGATGACTCCATGCCCTGCTACACTATGATGTGTCTCTATATAGTATGGTCACACTGGACGATACAATATATATTACTTCTGTGGGGTTTGTCATATTTGTGATTTAGGGATAGTTTAAGGACCTCCTGTGTTGTGTTTTAGATGATGTATCTCAAGTGGAAGTGATCCCTGGCATCAAGACAGAGGAGATGCGGGAGTCAAAGCGCCTCAAGATGGAGAGGGCAGTGTCGCCCACGTTTGAAACTGTGGAGGAGGAAAATGGGGACATAGTAGATGGCAGCACGGTTGGTCTGTTGGAGAGCGTGTCTGTTATAGAGAGAGCCTCCCAACTCTCACAAGTGTCACTCAGGATTCAGGAGGTAATGATACTTTCATGATGATGATGATGATGATGATGATGGTGACAATGAGGATGAGGATGAGGATGATACTGTAATAGATCCCTGTATTTATTGATTTTTAGATAATCATTTTTTGTTTGATTGTTCTCAAAAGTTAGAGTCAAAGAGTTAGCAGATGAGCAGGCTACTGTTGGGAACACTTGCTTCAAACTAACTGGGGCTAGACTGCTAAATTGACTGAAACAAGTCCTTGATGAATGATTACCTGATTGGATGATGGCCATCAGCTGTTGTAACGGATGATGTTTTCATGTGCCACCATGGCGATTCTGGGGCAGAGGAGGCCCTCTGTACCCTATGCTTGTTGTCAGAGATGATTCATGAGAGGGTAACAATGGGTGTGTGATTGCTCATACCCGTGAAGATCCGGGGTAGAATAGGTCTTCAGCAACCTATGCTTGCCGTAACTATGCTTGTCATAAGAGCCGACTAATTGGATCAGGCTCGCTGACTTGGTTGATGCATGTCATCGTATCCCAAATGCTTGGATCGATGCTCATGATGTCAATCACTGGATTATCTGGTCAAAACTTGATTATTTACAGGCCGCCATCTTATAGCTGGAATATTGCTGAATGAGGCTATAAACAATAAAAAAACAAACAAAACCATCAAGCATTGGTTTCACTGTCCCAGACTCCATTGTTTACAGAAGACTGTGTATTGCTGATTGAGGCGGAAACCCACTTTCATGTCTTCCCTTGTGCTTTAAGAAGACATAAAGTGTGTATGCAGCAAGGAATGTTTTCTCCTGCTGTCTGTGTTTCCAGGGCCAGTTGATAGGAATCTGTGGCATGAAGGGAAGCGGGAAGGGTTAGGGTTAGGTTTAACTCACTCACTCACTGTTTTCTCCTGCTGTCTGTGTTTCCAGGGCCAGCTGATAGGAATCTGTGGCATGAAGGGAAGCGGGAAGTCATCCCTCCTGTCAGCGCTGCTGGGACGAGTAAGGAAAAAATAACTCCTGTCTCTTCTTTTGTGTCTTTCATATCCATGTATTCCTTCACACTTTCATTTAGAAGAGAGATTATATTGAAAATGGAGAAGGCAGTAGGCCTTATGTATTAGTGTGGGCGCACTTGTGGCCCTGGCATCTAAGGCGTTGCAATTCGCTGTGGAGTTGCATCCCTTTGCCTTTGCCATGTTCATGGGTTTGCCCCGACTATGTTCTAGGTTCTTCAGCACCATACCCATACCAGTTTCACCTATTTCACCCATTCCACCCATTTCACTAATTTACCTGCTTCACCCATTCCACCCACTTCACCTGTTTCAACCATTTTCAGTTTCACCCATTTCACCCATTTTCATCTGTTTCACCCATTCCACCCATTTCACCAATTTACCTGTTTTACCCATTCCACCCATTTTCACCTATTTCACCCTTTCCACCAATTTTCACCTGTTTCACCCATTCCACCCAGTTCACCTGTTTCACCCATTTCGTCCGTTTCACAAAAGTGGTAAACGTCTGAGACCTGCATTACTTCGGGTTTTCCTCCCACATCAAGCTGACAAGCTGATATAACAGGAGCGCTGTTCAAATCAGCGATAGACCCATCTCACTCACTAATGTATTTGTGGTTGTCTTCAAGACGATGATGAACCATTGAGACCTCCAGTGCCTCTTGCTTGTCATACAAGGTTACAAGATGAATCAAGACCCGTGAATATCTAGGATAGAATAGGTCTTCAGTAACCCATGCTTGTCGTAAGAGGCAACTAACGGGAGCGGGTAGTCAGGCTCGCTGACTTGGTTGGTGCACGTCATCGTATCCCAGTTGCGTGGATCGATGCTCATGATGTCAATCACTGCGTTGTCTGGTCCAGACTTGATTATTTACAGACCACCGTCATATAGCTGGATTATTGCTGAGTGCGGCATTGAACAACAAACAAACAAACGACCAACATGTAGGTCATCATTTATTGGTTATAACATTTCCTTTGTTAAACACGGGCACTGGGTGGAATAGATCTTCAGCAACCCATGCTTGCCGTAACAGGCGACTATGCTTGTCCTAAGAGTCGACTACTGGGACTGGGTAGTCAGTCTCGCTACTTTGGCTGATGCATGACATCGTATCCCAGTTGCGTGGATCGATGCTCATGATGTCAATCACTGGATTGTCTGGTCCAGACTTGATTATTTACAGACCTCCGTCATATAGCTGGAATATTACTGAGTGCGGCGTGAAAAAACAAACAAACAAGCAACAAACATGGAATCAGTTTTTATGGTATTTTTTTTGTCTGCCTAGGGTAGCAATTTTCTTCATCTTTGATTTTTAATGAAATCCATTCTTATGTTCATAGATGCAACTACAAGGCGGAAGGGTTGGGGTCAAAGGTCGTGTGGCCTATGTGAGCCAGGAACCCTGGATATTTAATGGCACAGCCAAGGATAATATTTTGTTTGGAAATCAATATGACAAAGAAAGGTAACATCTTTGATTTACATTGTCCACTTTTTTAAATAATTAGTACAATAATGTTAAACATTGTTATTTTCAAATTTCAACACTTCAGACATTACACTGACAATTTGGATTTAGATTTCTTGGGATTCACAGCTGATGCTGCAATTAATACAGCCTAAGACTTGGTTCGATTCCCCACATGGGTACAATGTGTGATACCGCCGTGATATTGCTGGAATATTGCTAAAAGCGGCGTAGAACTCACTCGCTTTCCTATGATAGTGAAAGAGAATGTACTCCTATGTTCCTAACCCGTGAAGATCTGGGTCTTCAGCAACCCATGCTTGCCGTAAAAGGCAACTATGCTTGCTGTAAAAGGCTACTATGCTTGCCGTAAAAGGCAACTATGCTTGCCGTAAAAGGCAACTATGCTTGCTGTAAAAGGCGACTAACGGGATTGGTTTGTCAGGCTTGCTGACTTGGTTGATGCATGTCATAATATGTGTGGCGTTAAACAACAAGTAAACAAACAAACAAACTATCATATGTCCCGAAATACCCGATGCTGTTGTCAGATCCTTATGATGATGCTCAAGTGGTTACAGTGTGTGACATGATGGATTGTGGGTCATCATGATGTGGACAGATGCTCATGCTGTCAACCACTAGTTTGCCTGGCCCAGATTTTCTTTTCCTTCTTATCTTTTTATTGTTTTTCAGTCACCATGTAATAGCAGCAATGCAGCAACATCCACTCTGTGAAACCAGCCCCTCACTAATTCCAACTTCTTTCTTGTGTTTCTACAGATATGACCATATTATCGAAGTCTGCTGCCTTGAGAAGGACTTTGAAACGTTTGGTGCTGGTGATGGAGTAGAGGTAAGAAGACTTTCAGAATAGGGCTGGGACGGGAAACTCGGGAACTCAGGTCAGGTGGGCCCTGAATAGGACCTGGGTACCCACAGGACTACCCTGACCCGTGAATAGTCACGTGATATACTGTTTAATAACAATAAAATTCCATGGTAACACCACAAGTCACTGATGTTCACATTTCTTTCTGACTGCACCCACTCCTTCTGACTTTTATATGTGTGAGTAAAGATAAAGCTTCAGTGAACTTCAGTGTCTGCATAATCAAATCATTACATATGCGTATCTAAACAGTAAGTATCAGGCTCCGGTAAGACAATTCCCAATTGGACATTTTGTACCCAACTCTAAAGATCTACAGCAGGTACCCGGGTAGGGCCGGGTAACAGGGGGTTGGGTACCCGGTAGTAAATTTGGACTCGTCCCAGCCTTACCTTACAGATGGTAGCCCAGTCTCTTGTCGTGCTCACCTGCGCCAGCAAGCACTATGACTAATGGCAGCTATTCAGCCCCAGCGTGCAGTGTTAGAGATTAGTGCCCCTTTGAGCTGTCGGTGGTATTTGTTTGGTCGATCAGAGGTTTCAAATTAGTAAATGGATACCCAGGTAGGATCGGGTGAAAGGAGGTAGAATAGAACATTTGGACTCGTCCCAGCCCCAACACAGAAGATATTTCAGTTGCTTTATGGACTAATGTATTTGCAATGAGTGGTTTCTTAATTTCCTAAAATGAGATTTTTCCTTTCAGTGAGGGTATGTTTCAGTGGAATAAATATTTGTTAGGCTAACATTCTGTGTTACAACCATATTGAAAGTATGCAATATTTGTTTTCCAATCACTAAACTGTCTTCACCATAAACATGATCTCTCCTCATAGAATGTGGGATTTGTTATTTAAATAATGTGTGTATTTGTTAATACATATTTAGCATCACGTTTAACTTTTTGAAACCATTTTTATCTTTGATTGTATAGATCCTAGCATCTTCTGTTGTTTGTTTGAATTGATCAGTTAATTTTAATATACTCTCCATTCACATATTGTTTATATAATTTGACATATCAGATTGGAGACCGAGGTTTGACCTTGAGTGGTGGTCAAAAACAACGACTGAGTCTTGCCCGAGCGTTGTACAGCGACAGTGACGTCTATCTCCTTGACGACCCAATGTCTGCTCTAGATGTCCAGATTGGCAGACACATATTTAATCAATGTATAAAGGATTTGCTGAAAGACAAGACAGTGTTGTTTGTTACACATCATTTAGAAGTAAGTTGATTGTATTTAATAGATGTAACCTTAGTGTATTTGAACTTTTGTATCTGACTCTTTGTCTAAAAACATAGATAGTTAATTTTTGTTTTGTTTAAATAAGTGTGTTTATTTGTCCATATTAATACCTGTTAATGCCATGCCAATGAAGTGCTTAGAGTTGCCTGCCCTTGCTTTTAGAGAGCCTATTGTATTCCAGACACATCTAGGTTCAGAAGGTGTAATTCAAATTCAAGATTTAACTGCAACATACAAATTTAGTAAATTACTGTCGCATGAATCCAATATGGAGTCTGAATAGATTTCAACAGTCTACGTATGTCAGAGAAAAACACCTAAAATGTTTGGGTTGGAAAGTAAGTAAGTCGGATTTAAATCTAGCTGTTTGGAAAGTTGAGGAGGGAGGCACTTATACCAACTGAAGAAACAACTTCAGAAAAAAAACCAGATGTCTTATCTATAGCCAGTCCTTCCTGTATTGGGGCAGGGGTCTAAGGCGCCACAATTCACTGTGCAGAGTTGATTCCCTTGGGCACGCCAGAAACCTATGATCGTGGCTTTGAAATCCCAGTTCGCCCCGATTATGTTTCTAGGTTTGTCAGCACCATACCCGTGCTCGTGGGTTTCACCGAAGTGGTAAACGTCTGAGACCTGCATCACTTTGGGCTTTCCTCCTACATTAAGCTGACATGCCGTGATATAACTGGAATACTGTTAAAAGCGGAGTTAAACCCAACCCACTCACTCACTCATTGCTGTCATGTTGTATGGTTTTCCTACCTTACTCTTTTCAGTATCTGTGTCGCTGTGACTACGTCATCTACATGAAATGTGGGCGTGTCTCTGAAGCTGGTGTCCATGGCGACCTGATGAGTGATGGTGGCGACTATGCCGATCTACAGCAGCTGTATCAGAGCAAGTATGATGAGATTCAGAGGGAGAGAATTAAAGCTGCTGTCGCAAACAGACAAGGTGAGTAGAGACAAGAATGTGCGAATAAAACCCTATCAACAGGACCATAGAAACTCGCATTCATTCACACAGACTTGGAGGGGGCGGTCGGGTAGCCTAGTGGCGAAAGCATTTGCTCGTCATGCCGAAGACCCGGGTTCGTTTCCCGACATGGGTACAGTGCGTGAAGCCCATTTCTGGTGTCCCCCGCCCTCATATTGCTGGAATATTGCTAAAAGCGTCGTAAAACCATACTCACTCACTCACACTCTTGGAGTACAAGACAACAGGTCACCAGGAACCTATGATGGCGGCAAGAGCTGACCAAATGGATCGGGGGTCAAACTCGGTGACTTGGTTGATTGTGTGTGGATTGTTGCTCAAAATACCAATTACTCGATTATTTACCAGCTGTGGTCAAATGCCTGGAATATTGCTGAGTGCAGAGTTAAACAACAAACAAACGAACAAACAAACAGTTATATTGAGATTAGTTGTTACAGCGAATGAGAGTTACCTCCCCACAAGGGCAGTGTTGAAGTAAATTTATATCCCTGCAGCTATTACTTCAATTTGTGTGTCGCCTATCGGGTAAAGGTTCAGATTGAGGAACATTACAATATCCAATTCTCTCGCTGCTAGTCAGCTGATTCTCTCTGTGTAATGTAAACTTTTAAGTCACTCACTCACTCATTGAAGTGACAGCCATCAATCTCTGACCCATGTTCTCACTACTCTCGTCTGTCAGAAAGAACTACTCCACAACGAGGGTTTTCTCGGGCTTCCAGAAAGTTTCTCAATCGCCACCTGAGTCGGATGTCCACTCGGGAGGGCCTACAGCCTCAGTTCAGTATTATATCGAACGTCTCACATGGTCTTGACGACTATGAATATGGTATGTATTGGTCAATACACTTTCTAGAATCTTCTTCTTGGTCAGCTCTCGCCTTGTTGCAGACTTGATGTTTGCAGGGGGCTGGGTAGTTTTGTTTTGGTCACATTATATATTTCGTCACCTTTTGACATAAGCAAAATGTTTTCCCTCTGAGAGGAGAAGGATTTATTTTTTTAAAAGAATACAGCAACATGTATTTAGACTTTACTGGACCTCATGACACCTTCTCCCACACAGGAATATTGACCTGGAATTACACTCATGATTACTGACCTTATATTCTGCTCAGGAATATTGATAATGCCTCACAATCAGGAATATGGACCTTATATTCCACTCAGGAATATTGATAATGTCTCCCAATCAGGAATATGGACCTTATATTCCGCTCAGGAATATTGATAATGCCTCCCAATCAGGAATATGGACCTTATATTCCGCTCAGGAATATTGATAATGCCCCCCAATCAGGAATATTGACCTTATATTCCTCTCAAGAATATTGATAATGCCTCCCAATCAGGAATATGGACCTTATATTCCGCTCAGGAATATTGATAATGCCCCCCAATCAGGAATATTGACCTTATATTCCTCTCAAGAATATTGATAATGCCTCCCAATCAGGAATATGGACCTTATATTCCTCCCAATTGATAATACCTCCAAATCAGGAATATTGACCTTGAATTACACTCATGAATATTCATGTTTCCTCCCACTCAGGAATAATACATATATATATAGATATATATATATATATGTTTTTCTTGACGTAAAATTTGTTAACTAATAAAAAATAAGTAGTTTATTTTTGTAATTTCCCCACCAAACAACACTTTTACAAGAAGCCATAATTTCGTTGTTTTTCCAGTGGACATTGATGATCTAGTCTCTGCACAGGATGTAAATGACAGCAAAGTGTCGTTGCACATCTACCACAAGTACATCATGGCCGCAGGGGGGTACTGCGCCGTGATGCTCATCTTCTTCAGTTTTATCCTGAGTATCGGCCTACAGACTGCTGCCACCTGGTGGCTGTCCTACTGGCTGGATCAGGGAGATGGGGTGAGTACCATCCCATCGTACATCAACCACAACTCGATTTAGAGAACTTGGTTTAACTTGCACTGGTTGCACTAGTCGAAATCAGGTTGCACCCTGGTCCCATAAATTTATCGAAGTTGAAACATTGATGTGATACTAGTCTAAATAAGTAAAATCTCAGACATCTGATGACTGTGTCATGTGTCATGAATTAGACATAACACAGCAATTAGTTGTGTAGTAGTTTGTTAGATAACCCTTCGAGGTACGGAGTGTTCAAGGATCGATAGCCTGGTGGTTAAAGCGTTCACTCGTCATGCCGAAGACCCGGTTTCGATTCCCGACATGGGTACAATGTGTGAGGCCCATTTCTGGTGTCCCCGCCGTGATATTGCTGGAATATTGCTAAATCAAACTCACTAACTCACTCAAGGATCGATACTGTATGGACAAAGTAAGGGTTCGTCAGACAAATATTTTAATTTTGTGCATGTAGACTTGTTGCACTTGTGCAGGTCTTGTATAGGTAAATCAAGCTCTATTTTGTCATAAGTCTTAGTCACTCACCAAGGAAATTTCTGATCTGAAGTATTGAAATTATTCTATTGGCAATCCCATGACACAATTTGTTTATGTTTGCAGAACCACACTGGGCTGTTTGACAACTCCACAGTGTCCATCGGCAATGTGTCTGAGAACCCAGATATAGATATGTACGCACTTATATACGGGTTGTTTATAGTCTCCCTCGTTGTAGCTGTGGCCATCAGAGGGATCATCTTCATGAAGGTTAGTGTCGGGCGTATATCTGTATCCTAGCATCCCTTGCTTGTTGTAAGAGGCGACTAATGGGATCGGGTGGTCAGACTCGCTGACTTGGTTGATGCATGTCATCGTATCCCATTTACCGGTATATAGATCAGTGCCCATGATGTCAATCAGTGAATTATCATTCCCAGACTTGATTATTTTCAGACCGCTTATATAGCTGAAATATTGCTGAGTCCAGTGTTAAACAAACAAACAAACAAACAAACAAACAGGTTGCTTGTGGTCTCAATAATATTTCTAAATTCTGTGAATCAGGATATGTATCATATTGTGTCTTTAGCATGCGACTAATTTTATTATCCCCAGCCGCGCGAAAGCGCGAAGCGGGGGATATAGTATTCACGACCGTCCGTACGTCCGTCCGTACGTCCCACCTGTTTGTTGCCGCGATATCTCAAGAACTAAACACTGGATTGTCTTCATATTTGGAACTATGGTGTATATACAGACTCCGCAGACACCAGTCGGTTTTGGTGACCTTGATCCCATTTTCAAGGCCACAGCAGACAAATCTGCTTTTAGAGTTGGAAAACGGTGTTGCCGCGATATCTCAAGAACTAAACACTGGATTGTCTTCATATTTGGAACTATGGTGTATATACAGACACCGCAGACACCAGTCGGTTTTGGTGACCTTGATCCCATTTTCAAGGTCACAGCAGGCAAATCTGCTTTTAGAGTTGGAAAACGGTGTTGCCGCGATATCTCAAGAACTAAACCTCTCGATTGTCTTCATATTTGGAACTATGCTGTATATACAGACACCGCAGACACCAGTTGGTTTTGGTGACCTTGACCCCATTTTCAAGGTCACAGCAGGCAAATCTGCTTTTGGAGTTAGAAAACGGTGTTGCCGCGATATCTCAAGAACTAAACACTGGATTGTCTTCATATTTGGAACTATGGTGTATATACAGACACCGCAGACACCAGTCGGTTTTGGTGACCTTGATCCCATTTTCAAGGTCACAGCAGGCAAATCTGTTTTTGGAGTTGGAAAACGGTGTTGCCACAATATCTCAAGAACTAATCGCTGGATTGTCTTCATATTTGGTACTATGGTGTATATGGCGGGGGATATTTCGTCACTCTGTGACAAATACTTGTTTTATTTCATTTCCACATTCTGCTTCCTTCTTCCAGAGGGGCGGTCGTGTAGCCTAGTGGTTTAAAGCGTTCGCTCGTCACGCCGAAGACCCGGGTTCGATTCCTGACATGGGTACAATGTGTGAAGCCCATTTCCGGTGTCCCCCGCCGTGATATTGCTGGAATATTACTAAAAGCGGCGTAAAACCATACTCACTCACTCACTCACTCCTTCTTCCAGATCATGCTGAGAGCCAGCAGTCGTCTCCATCAGCAGTTGTTGAAGAAAACCATCAAGAGTCAAATGAAATTCTTCGACACGACCCCGCTCGGCATAATACTCAATAGATATGCCATGGACATGGATGAGAGTACGGCTAGTTCATCTTCTCTATGTATTACAGCTGCAGGCTCCGCGTGGGGTTGCAGGGACAGGCCCTAAGACAGCACATGCTAGGTTGGAGACAGGGAGGCACTGGGGGTTGTCTCCCTGTTCACAACCAATCCCTCATCATCACTAGATTAGGGATCCAGAGATATCATTCGTGACCAACTCGTGTTCTTCTGGGACAAGCTGAATAGCGACTAGAGCCCCTCTCGTGGCTATTTTTATGACTGGGTCCCATCTAAGAGCAAACAGGCATAGTTAAAAGAATTATCAATTCGTTATGTAATGATTCTCATATTTTTCCCCCATGTCATATATATTCCAGATGCTATTAAAACACACCGGGACTTACGGTATTTATACAGTATGATCTTAATGTATCTAGGGTATATATTTAGATGCAAGACGTATAAAATCAAAAATTATTCCTGAGGGATTCTTTTACTGAAGAACTTGAAGTCATACGCACATTCTGACTGGTTTGTAGTATATTTGCACATAACATTCATCGATAGGTAGACCAGTCTTCTTGCAGGTTACGGAAATGGTCGAGTGGTGACGAAAGCCTTAGATATGTAAACACAGGCACCTGCAAGATTTCCCTCCCCTGAATGATAAAACACTGATAGAAGCTAACCCTTTTGACCCCATTCGTCACCACTCGCCCCTTTCCATAACCAACAAGTAGACTCGTCCACCTATCGATGAATGTTATGTGTGAAAATACAAGCCAATCAGAATGTACGTATAACTTCAAGTTCGAATTGTTTGATAGGCATTACTTAGAAGTTAATGGATGACAAAGTAGACACAATTTATGGATAACAACGTCTTTAATGACTGTGAAGGCAACGTTTCGGTATACTTTGGTACTTTGGTGAAACAATCCCTCAGGAATAGTTTTTAATTTTACACTTGTCTTGCATCTAAAAATGTTTTCAAGATACGTTTCAATGTGTTTAATCATACTGTATAATACCTTAAGTCCAGATATGTTTTAAATAGCATCTGGAAAATCTATGATATATCAGGGATTTATACGTGAATCATTACGCAACGAGTTGACACTACTTTTAGCTATGCACTTTTGCTCTTAGACGGAACCCAGTCATAAAAATGGCTGCAAGAGGGACAGGAGTCGCTGTTCCTCTTCTCTGGGAAGAACACGAGTTGGTCAAGAATGTTTTGACCCCTGGCTCATAGGTTATGGTGACAGCCAGGTGACAGCATTAATTAACTTTGCATTTATACCTCCAAAATAACCGTCATTAATAAGACGGCCTCACTGCACACTTTGGATAGCGGAAATACCAACTTGAATATCAACACAAACACGGTTGATTGAGCAGCAGTTGTAACAAGTATATAACAATGTCATTCAAAGAATAGGAATTACACAATGGGCATCTGCTGAGTTATCACTGCTGGGGTCAAGAGTTCTACCCACTCGTGTCAAGCTTGTTGAAACCTTCTCTGCATACCAATCAGTGAACTGTTGTTGGTTCAAGTATTTAATTACCTTTGAACTTCCTTAATGCCAGTCAACAGAGTAAACATATAAACTGTGTGTTGTTTTTAGGAAAACACTGTTTATTGTTTTTACGGAAGTGCTCTACTCAGTGCTAATAAGGGGTGCTATTTACTGTTTGATTGGATTAAGGTAAGGTATGCATCATTCCACGGGGACTGGGTGGGGGAGTCGCTTGATATTTAGTCGCATTTTTGGCTAGGGGTCAGCAGTCATATTAAGTGGGAGACGCATTAATTTCCATCTTTACAGTAATGGAATTAATTTTTCCAGGAGGGCCAATTTGCAAGGGGTCAGGGTCAAGGTCCCTCGTACATTAAATCTCTCAAGATAGGTGCCCTTCCTCTGGATTGTGGATGTCAGACCTTTGTTATGCCTGCAAGCATGTTTTATGTGTCTTCATTTGTTTTAATAACATCAGTATATATTTTTCCTGAATGGGTATGTTATTATATTTTTTGTCTAACATAAAGCTATTTTTGTTACGATTCTTTAGCCTTATACTTTACGTTCTGTATGAAAAGCAATTCAAATTTTATTTTTTGCATCTAAAGCATATTAGCCTCTAACCAATATTCCTCTTATTCGATTACTCTCCTTCATTTCAGTTGATGTTCGGTTGCCGTCTAACTGCGAGCTCTTCCTGCAGAATGTATTCCTCGTGTTGTTTGCCCTTGTGATGATTTCTGTGGTGTTTCCGTGGGACTTGCTTGTGATTCTGCCTCTTGCCATTGTGTTCATAGTGTTGACTGTTATGTTCGCTCCAGTCTTGCAGCGACTCAAATATGTTGATAATGTCACCCGCTCGCCATACCTTAGCCATCTCGCTGCTACCATTGACGGAATCTCAACTATACACGTGTACGGGCAGTCACAGCGCTTTATTAGACAGTAAGATATTTAGATCTCCTCATTATGTCATTTGTGGGTGAGACCTGTGAAGATCCGGGTTAGAATAGGTCTTCAGCAACCCATGCTTGCCGTAAAAGGCGACAATGCTTGTCGTAAGAGGCGACTAACGGGATCGGGTGTCTGACTGTCTGACTTGGTTGATGCATGTCATTGTATCTCAGCTGTGTAGATCGATGCTCATGAAGTCAATCACTGGATTGGTTATATACAGACTGCCATCGTATCGCTGGAATATTGCTGAGTGTGGTGTTAAACAAGAAACAAACCAATAAAAGGTTACCAGTGAGAGAAAATGTTTCATCAGATGGATCAGTGTGCTTATATACATGTAGAATGATACTCATGATACACGTTCTCCGTGTTTTGCATGACAAGTACATATGGATGGTGGAAAGGGCGAAAGTTACACTGACAAATGTATTTCTTTGAAGAGACTTTCTTCAATTGATTTCATTTTTCGTTTCAGATTTTGTGATATGTTGGATAAAAACTCATTACCATTCTTCCTGTTCTATGCAGCCAATCGCTGGCTTGCATTGTTTCTTGATCTTATGACGATCGCTGTCATTGGTGCTACAGGATTTCTAGTCGTATTTACTCTGGACTCTGAGAACTCAGCAAACGCCGGCTTAGCCCTTTCTTTTGCCATTCAGGTGAGCGCTCCAAGTATTCTGTTATCATATTTTCTGGCACTTTAAGGTAAAATTACTTTATACCCATAAAGATCAGGTTTAGAATTGGCCTTCAGCAACCCACGTGTGTAAGGCTTAAAAATAATAGTCTTGGTTCTCAGGCACCGCCTGCATCATCATAAAGATTGCCGCACATTTCGTTTTATTTCCATTTTAAAAAACAAAACAAAAGTCTATAAATATTCCAAGCTTAACGGTAGTCAAATACTGTATTCCAGTATTATATCCATCAAGGAATACATTTATGTAGGGAGGCCCTTTTCCTTGTTGATTGTACACCACTGTTTATTTGCTTACACAACTGTTTATTTGGTTACATACTAGTCTGAATAACAACAACAACCCCAAAACACCACCCGCTCGCACTAAATTTACAAAAGCCATTGCTTGAGAACAAATTCTTTTATTTTTTTAAGCCTAAGAGGCGACTATGCTTGTCATAATTGGCGACTAACAGGATCGGGTGTCCAGGCTCGCTGACTTGGTTGGTGCATGTCATCGTATTCCAATGGCGTGGGTTGATGCTCATGATGTCAATCACTGGATTGTCTGGTCCAGAATTGATTATTTACAGACTGCTGCCATGTAGCTCAACTATTGCTGAGTACAGCGTTAAACAAGAAACAAACAAGCAAACAAATCATGCCATTTGGAAAGTGTGTTATCACAATGTACGACATGACATCAGTACCACCTGAGTGAAAATATCCTCCTCAACTGCCACCCTAGTGTGTGGGGAACAGCTTGTCATGGCTTCCAAAACCCACACTAGCCCTGATATGATTCTATGTTGGTCAACTCTATACTAAAGTGATCAACATCTATGACTTGCGTCCCTAAGAGCTTTTCTCCTATGTGTCTTCTTCTTCTCCTTCTTCTCTTTCTTCTTCTTTGTCTTCTTCTTTGTCTTCTTCTTTGTCTTCTTCCGTTGGAGATTTCATGAGCATTTGGTCTCCCACTCTACACAGACACACTGGGATATGACTGAAATACAGTTTAAAGTGGTTTAAAGACCTCAACTCACTCAAACATGACATTTTTGTGTGTGAAAAACAGTTTTGATTGACATTAAAATCCAAACCAACTCCTTCCTAACTGTAAGTTATGAGTGAGTGAGTTGGGTTTAACACCGCTTTTAACAGTATTCCAGTTATATCACGGTGTGTCAGCTTAATGTGGGAGGAAAGCACAATGTGATGCAGGTCTCAGACGTTTACCACTCCGGTTTTCGAACCAGGATTCGAACCCACAATCATAGGTTCCTGGCGTGCCCAAGGGATGCAACTCTGCACTCTTAGACGGCTGGGCCACCCATGCCCCCTGTAAGTTATGACTAACATACAGTTCAGTGTTAACACCCCAACTGACTCCAGCCCTAACTCTGTGTACAGATCACCAGCCTGCTGCAGTACACACTGCGACTGTGCGTGGAGACCAACTCCAGGTTCACATCGGTCAAGAGGATCCAGGACTACATTGAGGTGGGTCTTTAAGTGGCCAGATTGTTAAAGGGCAAGTTCACACGGAAATGAACCTATTTTTCTTGTACTTTTTCCACATTAAAAGTGTTAACCTAGAAGTGTCATAGAAAAAAATATAAAAATATCACAATTAATTAACATATTTTTCGCATTAAAACTATTTAAAAAAAACTAAGTGTTCTATTTCCATAACAAAAACACCATGGCTTATGCCCCTTGCAATATGACGTCATTGGTGCCAATTGATAAACATTATGACGTCATCATGCTTTGTTAGAGCCGCTTCACGTGGTGTGGGTACCGGTGTGTGATTCTTGCGTCTCAGATGCCAGCCAGCAAAGTGTTATGCTGAGTCACCACTGTGCCGGAGTGTGTCGTAGGCCATGTTGTTTTACCGCAAACTGGTACTTGATATCTTTTGCGTTGAGAATAGACAGGGACCCAGTTGAATTGGCACCAATTACGTCATAATCTAAGGGGGATAACTCAGTCCTGTTTAGCTCGAAAAACGAAGGCCTCATAACGACATATCAATTTCACACTATTGTGATCTTCCTTCTTTCACTGTGTAAAAAATGAGTGTATATTTTCAAACACAGATACTAATTAATTCTAAAATTGCGTTTTGTTAAGAAAAAGAAAGAAAGTGATTTTTGCGTGTACACTTCCCCTTTAAGAAGACCATGAAACAGTGTCATGTCCTCAATACGAATAACATTAGCCCTTTTAATATTTGATTTACCAATTATGACACATACATCAGAGTAATGTCCCCGTCGTCAGTATTTAACACTGGAGAATTTAGTGAAAACACTTTAAGTTCACCAAAGCAGTATTCAGGCTGACTGGACTTGTAACAAAGTTCTTGATTACGTTTTTTCGTCTGAATAAGTCTATGAACCATCACCTTGCCATGCCACAGGTAAGAAGGGAGATAACTCTCAAGTTAAAGGATAACTCTAAAGAAGTTAAAAGGAATTACGGTAAATTACCTACCTTGACTGTGTGTCCAGAACCTGCCAGAAGAAGGCAGCACTCCGGCCGGGGAGAACGGAGACATTCCCGATGACTGGCCTTCACAGGGCCAAGTCCGGTTCCGCAAATACAACATGAAGTATCATGAAGGACTTCAGCTGTCCCTCAAAAACATCTCCCTCAATATCTGTCCCCATGAGAAGATTGGCATTGTCGGCAAGTCAGGATCTGGTAAGCTACTCTGTTGACACTGTATTTCTCTGATTGGGCAGAGACTGAAGTAGAATGATTTGGATTAGTGCTGTATCGATTTAAGACAATTTTGTTAGCTAACTTTCTTCCATGTAGGAAGACAACATTTAGGGCATAAGATGGTTCTCAGGCATCAATGAAACAAGAAATTTTCTAAAATTGAGCTGAATACACCACCTGCCTGCAGATATCTTTCAAAAGTCAATGTGTAATGCAGCCATTTTTTTATGGATCGATATTCGGCTATTTATGTAAAATATGCACATTTTTTTATGAAAAGGCTTAATTCAGCCAATCAGAATAAAGCATTCATCGATTTCATTGTAGAGTTCTTGCCTCTAACCAGTCAATGACATTTATTCCCAAATAGGAAAGTCCTCTCTGGGTGTGGCTCTCTTCAGGCTTTGTGAGACAACCTCCGGAGCAATTGAGATTGATGGCAAGAATATCCGGGATGTCAAACTGTCTGACCTGAGGTCAAGGTTGTCCATTCTGGTGCAAGACCCTGTGTTGTTTGTAGGAACTATCAGGTGAGGACAGGAGGAACTACCCGTTGTCTTGTATTGTAACAGATAGGTGTGGGACTTTCTGTGAGGACAGGAGAGACTACTTGTTGTCTTGTATTGTAACAGATAGGTGTGGGACTTTCTGTGAGGACAGGAGAGACTACTTGTTGTCTTGTATTGTAACAGACAGATGTGGGACTTTCTGTGAGGACAGGAGAGACTACTTGTTGTGTTGTATTGTAACAGACAGATGTGGGACTTTCTGTGAGGACAGGAGAGACTACTTGTTGTGTTGTATTGTAACAGACGGGTGTGGGACTTTCTGTGAGGACAGGAGAGACTACTTGTTGTGTTGTATTGTAACAGACAGGTGTGGGACTTTCTGTGAGGACAGGAGAGACTACTTGTTGTGTTGTATTGTAACAGATAGGTGTGGGACTTTCTGTGAGGACAGGAGGGACTACTTGTTGTGTTGTATTGTAACAGACAGGTGTGGGACTTTCTGTGAGGACAGGAGAGACTACTTGTTGTGTTGTATTGTAACAGACGGGTGTGGGACATTCTGTGAGGACAGGAGGGACTACTTGTTGTGTTGTATTGTAACAGACAGATGTGGGACTTTCTGTGAGGACAGGAGAGACTACTTGTTGCGTTGTATTGTAACAGACGGGTGTGGGACTTTCTGTGAGGACAGGAGAGACTACTTGTTGTGTTGTATTGTAACAGACAGGTGTGGGACTTTCTGTGAGGACAGGAGAGACTACTTGTTGTGTTGTATTGTAACAGATAGGTGTGGGACTTTCTGTGAGGACAGGAGAGACTACTTGTTGTGTTGTATTGTAACAGATAGGTGTGGGACTTTCTGTGAGGACAGGAGAGACTACTTGTTGTGTTGTATTGTAACAGACAGGTGTGGGACTTTCTGTGAGGACAGGAGGTTCTTCTTGTTGTGTTGTATTGTAACAGACAGGTGTGGTACTTTCTGTGAGGACAGGAGGGACAACTTGTTGTGTTGTATTGTAACAGACAGGTGTGGGACTTTCTGTGAGGACAGGAGGGACTACTTTTTGTCTTGTATTGTAACAGACAGGTGTGGGACTACTTGTGGGGTCTTGTATTGTAACAGACAGGTGTGGAATTTTCTGTGAGGACAGGAGGGACTACTTGTTGTCTTGTATTGTAACAGACAGATGTGGGACTACTTGTTGTCTTGTATTGTAACAGACAGGTGTGGGACTACTTGTGGGGTCTTGTATTGTAACAGACAGGTGTGGAATTTTCTGTGAGGACAGGAGGGACTACTTGTTGTCTTGTATTGTAACAGACAGGTGTGGGACTACTTGTTGTCTTGTATTGTAACAGACAGGTGTGGGACTACTTGTGGGGTCTTGTATTGTAACAGACAGGTGTGGGACTACTTGTTGTCTTGTATTGTAACAGACAGGTGTGGGACTACTTGTGGTCTTGTATTGTAACAGACAGGTGTGGGACTACTTGTTGTCTTGTATTGTAACAGACAGGTGTGGGACTACTTGTGGGGTCTTGTATTGTAACAGACAGGTGTGGGACTACTTGTTGTCTTGTATTGTAACAGACAGGTGTGGGACTACTTGTGGTCTTGTATTGTAACAGACAGGTGTGGGACTACTTGTGGGGTCTTGTATTGTAACAGACAGTAGTGGGACTTTCTGTGAGGACAGGAGGGACTACTTGTTGTGTTGTATTGTAACAGACAGGTGTGGGACTTTCTGTGAGGACAGGAGAGACTACTTGTTGTGTTGTATTGTAACAGATAGGTGTGGGACTTTCTGTGAGTACAGGAGCGACTACTTGTTGTGTTGTATTGTAACAGACAGTAGTGGGACTTTCTGTGAGGACAGGAGGGACTACTTGTTGTCTTGTATTGTAACAGACAGGTGTGGAATTTTCTGTGAGGACAGGAGGCACTACTTGTGGGGTCTTGTATTGCAACAGACAGGTGTGGGCCTTTCTGTGAGGACAGGAGGGACTACTTGTTGTCTTGTATTGTAACAGACACGTATGGGACTACTTGTGGGGTCTTGTATTGTAACAGACAGGTGTGGGACTTTCTGTGAGGACAGGGGAGACTACTTGTGATCTTGTATTGTAACAGACAGGTGTGGGACTTTCTGTGAGGACAGGAGGGACTACTTGTTGTCTTGTATTGTAACAGACAGGTGTGGGACTTTCTGTGATGAAGAGTTACTGATTTTTTTTGACATGGCATTGGATATGTGTCCTTAAATTGGGGTATTGCCAGTGTAGTGGCCATAAACCTTCCCCGTCCAGTGATGGGGATTTAAACCTTGGACCTCTTCTGATGCCTTGTCCACATGACCAAAGACGTTAAACCTGTCAGCAAGGTGACAAGGTAATGACGTCATCTGTGGGATGAAGCCAAACCCTGCTGAAACTAGGAAAGTTGTGAGGTAACAACTGTGATATCATCAGTTGTTGATCATGCAGTCTTGGGGGGTATATGTAGTAGTGTATCCTGTGTGTCTATGTACCCAGAGCTTATGATCAGCCATAAACAAAGACATAACCAATGTATGTATCTTTCAGATACAACCTTGACCCTTCGAGCCAGTGTCACGATGACGCGGAAATGTGGGAGGCCTTGGAGAAATGCCACATCAAACAAAAGGTCAGTCATGTGATGTCTCACGTCATTCATGTGATGTCTGAGGTCAGTCATGTTATGTCTTAGGTCAGTCAGGTTAAGGTGGGAGGGCGAGGATGAGGTGGAGAGATGTGACAGCAGGGAAGCTGGGAGGGAGGGGAAGAGGTGGAGAGATGTGACAGCAGGGAAGGTGGGAGGGAGGGGAAGAGGTGGAGAGATGTGACAGCAGGGAAGGTGGGATGGGGAGGATGAGGTGGAGAGATATGACAGCAGGGAAGTTGAGAGGGAGTGGATGAGGTGGAGAGATGTGACAGCAGGGAAGGTGGGAGGGAATGGATGAGGTGGAGAGATGTGACGGCAGGGAAGGTGGGAGGGAGTGGATGAGGTGGAGAGATGTGACGGCAGGGAAGGTGGGAGGGAATGGATGAGGTGGAGAGATGTGACGGCAGGGAAGGTGGGAGGGAATGGATGAGGTGGAGAGATGTGACGGCAGGGAAGGTGGGAGGGAGTGGATGAGGTGGAGAGATGTGACGGCAGGGAAGGTGGGAGGGAATGGATGAGGTGGAGAGATGTGACGGCAGGGAAGGTGGGAGGGAATGGATGAGGTGGAGAGATGGAGAGATGTGACAGCAGGGAAGGTGGGAGGGAGAGGATGAGGTGGAGAGATGTGACAGCAGGGAAGGTGGGAGGGAATGGATGAGGTGGAGAGATGTGACTGCAGGGATGGTGGGAGGTAGAGGATGAGGTGGAGAGATGTGACAGCAGGGAAGATGGGAGGGAGTGGATGAGGTGGAGAGATGTGACAGCAGGGATGGTGGGAGGTAGAGGATGAGGTGGAGAGATGTGACAGCAGGGAAGGTGGGAGGGAGCGGATGAGGTGGAGAGATGGAGAGATGTGACAGCAGGGAAGGTGGGAGGGAGTGGATGAGGTGGAGAGATGTAATGGCAGGGAAGGTGGGAGGGAGAGGATGAGGTGGAGAGATGGAGAGATGTGACAGCAGGGAAGGTGGGAGGGAGCGGATGAGGTGGAGAGATGGAGAGATGTGACAGCAGGGAAGGTGGGAGGGAGTGGATGAGGTGGAGAGATGTAATGGCAGGGAAGGTGGGAGGGAGAGGATGAGGTGGAGAGATGTGACTGCAGGGATGGTGGGAGGTAGAGGATGAGGTGGAGAGATGTGACAGCAGGGAAGGTGGGAGGGAGTGGATGAGGTGGAGAGATGTGACGGCAGGGAAGGTGGGAGGGAGCGGATGAGGTGGAGAGATGTAATGGCAGGGAAGGTGGGAGGGAGCGGATGAGGTGGAGAGATGTGACGGCAGGGATGGTGGGAGGGAATGGATGAGGTGGAGAGATGTGACGGCAGGGAAGGTGGGAGGGAGCGGATGAGGTGGAGAGATGGAGAGATGTGACAGCAGGGAAGCTGGGAGGGAGTGGATGAGGTGGAGAGATGTAATGGCAGGGAAGGTGGGAGGGAGTGGATGAGGTGGAGAGATGTGACAGCAGGGAAGGTGGGAGGGAGTGGATGAGGTGGAGAGATGTGACGGCAGGGAAGGTGGGAGGGAGTGGATGAGGTGGAGAGATGTGACAGCAGGGAAGGTGGGAGGGAGTGGATGAGGTGGAGAGATGTAATGGCAGGGAAGGTGGGAGGGAGTGGATGAGGTGGAGAGATGTGACAGCAGGGAAGGTGGGAGGGAGTGGATGAGGTGGAGAGATGGAGAGATGTGACAGCAGGGAAGGTGGGAGGGAGTGGATGAGGTGGAGAGATGTGACAGCAGGGAAGGTGGGAGGGAGTGGATGAGGTGGAGAGATGTGACGGCAGGGAAGGTGGGAGGGAGTGGATGAGGTGGAGAGATGGAGAGATGTGACAGCAGGGAACGTGGGAGGGAGTGGATGAGGTGGAGAGATGTAATGGCAGGGAAGGTGGGAGGGAGAGGATGAGGTGGAGAGATGTGACTGCAGGGATGGTGGGAGGTAGAGGATGAGGTGGAGAGATGTGACAGCAGGGAAGGTGGGAGGGAGTGGATGAGGTGGAGAGATGTAATGGCAGGGAAGGTGGGAGGGAGCGGATGAGGTGGAGAGATGTGACAGCAGGGAAGCTGGGAGGGAGTGGATGAGGTGGAGAGATGGAGAGATGTGACAGCAGGGAAGGTGGGAGGGAATGGATGAGGTGGAGAGATGTGACGGCAGGGAAGGTGGGAGGGAATGGATGAGGTGGAGAGATGTGACGGCAGGGAAGGTGGGAGGGAGCGGATGAGGTGGAGAGATGGAGAGATGTGACAGCAGGGAAGCTGGGAGGGAGTGGATGAGGTGGAGAGATGTAATGGCAGGGAAGGTGGGAGGGAGTGGATGAGGTGGAGAGATGTGACAGCAGGGAAGGTGGGAGGGAGTGGATGAGGTGGAGAGATGTGACGGCAGGGAAGGTGGGAGGGAGTGGATGAGGTGGAGAGATGTGACGGCAGGGAAGGTGGGAGGGAGTGGATGAGGTGGAGAGATGTGACGGCAGGGAAGGTGGGAGGGAGTGGATGAGGTGGAGAGATGTGACGGCAGGGAAGGTGGGAGGGAGCGGATGAGGTGGAGAGATGTGACAGCAGGGATGGTGGGAGGTAGAGGATGAGGTGGAGAGATGTGACAGCAGGGATGGTGGGAGGTAGAGGATGAGGTGGAGAGATGTGACGGCAGGTATGCACTTTGGTTATGTATATGTGAGGATGCTCAGGACTACTTCAGCGGTCCCAGGCATGTGAATGTCAAAACTCTACAGTGTGAATAACAGTATGTAATGTTGCTGCAGATCGCCTCCCTTGACAAGCAGCTTGACACACAAGTGGATGAAAATGGCCGCAACTTTTCCATGGGAGAAAAACAGCTGCTGTGCTTGGCTCGTACTCTACTGAGACATACAAAGGTGGGTTTTGTCAAACATTTGACATACAGTTTGAATACGCTTATCGGCTTGAGACTTCACCATTCTGCTTTAGATTTTAAACAATTTTTTACAAAATGTACTACTTGTTCACAACTATTGTTTTATATTATGATTTGAATCCATGAAGTTGTGTTCAAATTTGTTATTTGTTGACTGTGACTGGGTCAGCTTTTTCTTTTCCACTTTTTCAATTTTGTATCAATTTGTTTGCTCAATATTATGCAAATGTCCCTCATCAAGTAATTAATATGAATTGTGCAGGTATAATAACACGGAAATAGCTAATTTGTTTGCATGTTTCAGATATGTTGGCTACCACTTGAGTGTTTTAAGTCAATTTATTTGTACATTTCTTGCCATGATTTATTTCATCAGGTGATATTAAAATTGAATTGTTTGTTTACTTCAAAGTTGACGGATGACAAAGCAGACACAAATTATGGATAACAACTTCTTTATTTACTGTAAAGGCGATGTTTGTGATTAATTCCTTATACCGATGTCAAGCCTTGCCTATACCGAACGTCACCTTTACAGTAAATAGAGAAGTTGTTATCCATAAATTGTGTCTACTTTGATATTTTAATTATCCAATAGCTTTCACACACCTCGGTATGACCTGATGAGCTTGAGACAGGAGAACCCCCACTCATTCACTATTACAAGAAGATATGTTGTATGACTAGCACTATTGTTGTGACGTATTGTGTTCAGATACTGATCCTGGACGAGGCTACTGCTGCAGTGGACACACAGACAGAGGCTGTGGTGCAGCAGACAATCAAGAAGGCTTTCAAGGACTGCACCGTGCTGACCATCGCTCACCGACTCACGACAGTGCTGGACTCCGATAAAATACTGGTCATGGACAGCGGCAAGGTAAGAGTGAGTGAGTGAGTGAGTGATGCTGGACTCCGATAAAATATTGGTCATGGACAGTGGCAAGGTGAGTGAGTGAGTGAGCGATGCTGGACTACGATAAAATATTGGTCATGGACAGTGGCAAGGTGAGTGAGTGAGTGAGTGAGTGAGTGATGCTGGACTCCGATAAAATATTGGTCATGGACAGTGGCAAGGTGAGTGAGTGAGTGAGTGATGTTGGACTCCGATAAAATATTGGTCATGGACAGCGGCAAGGTAAGAGTGAGTCAGTGAGTGAGTGAGTGATGCTGGACTCCGATAAAATATTGGTCATGGACAGCGGCAAGGTAAGAGTGAGTCAGTGAGTGAGTGAGTGATGCTGGACTCCGATAAAATATTGGTCATGGACAGTGGCAAGGTGAGTGAGTGAGTCAGTGAGTGAGTGAGTGATGCTGGACTCCGATAAAATATTGGTCATGGACAGCGGCAAGGTAAGAGTGAGTCAGTGAGTGAGTGAGTGATGCTGGACTCCGATAAAATATTGGTCATGGACAGTGGCAAGGTGAGTGAGTGAGTGGGTGGGTGAGTGAGTGAGTGAGTGGGTGGGTGAGTGATGCTGTACTCCTATAAAATACTGGTCATGGACAGTGACAAGGTAAGGGTGAGTGAGTGAGTGTTATGTAATATGTTAAGTTTGTAATAACCGTAGTTTGTTATAAGCATGTATACAGCATATGTTTAAATGGCTGAGACCAAAAATACAGTTCGTTATATCCATCAGTTTGTCATAAATGAGTTCGTTATAAACGTGGTTTACTGTATCTCTTGCTTTATTGGTATATAAAAATAAAATATACCAGACATGGAAAAAAAGACTTGCCAATTGGCTTGCTATTCATTATATTTGTCAGCTTGAATTTTTCTGCTACCATGTTGAAAATTGTTTTCAAAATTTTTCAAACTGCAGTGAAGAATGATTTGTATTTTGTCCCTTGTTTATGTTAACTTCATTAACAAAATCAATTTGGGTTTCAGAATGTAGAATTTGACGCTCCTTCCATGCTTCTCCGAAGGAATCATTCAAAGTTCAAGTCGATGGTTGAAGCTCTGAAACCACAATCCCGGGATTCCAATATGGAGGAATCGCTAACAGAGCAGCTGATCCGAGCAGAACTCGCTCGTCTGAAGGATGCGGATGCAAATAACCACATATCAGACTCCTATATCTCGCTCTCGCCGATGGAGCAGGCAAGGGAGATAACTCCCGATCCTGAAGTTCATATTGTTGATGAACGGACTAGCTAGTTAACAGTGCATTAGGAATGGGGGGCTGATCGTGATGTTCTGCTTTAACTGTGAAACCAATGAATTGTGTACTGTTCTGACGTTTTACCCTTCGTGTTGGTGTTTACAGTTCACTTGTGAAGAGTCACCATCATGGATTGGTGATATCATGTTAATTGGTCACATATGTGATTTCTCCATCACAAGTTGTTTTTTGTCACATATATGAGTTTTCATCGATATGTGTTTTGCTGTCACACAAGCCTGCATTTTTTAATCACAAATTTTGTCACAAGTTGTTACTTAAATCAGTGGCTTTCTGTCACTGTTAATCGAAAGTGCTGTACTCATGGTGATATATATTTTTTCAAATACACATAAAATGCTTTTTGGTCACAAATAGTAACTTTTGGGTGACAGCTATGTGGGTTTGTGGTGCTGATGTGTGGTCACACGTCTGTGGAATGGTAGATGTATGTTTGTATGTTGGACACAAAGTTTGTACGTCAGCATCCTGACAATCTGCTGATGGATCTCCCACACCAGATTTCAGACAGTGTTCTTCTATGTCGGAGGATGCCAGGCATCCGGCATACCACATTATTTATCTTGTCATATTGATCTTCGTGTCATGTCAGTGTACACAGCTGGTACAAGCATGGCCTTAATATTAATATTAACTGTCCATGGTACAAGTTAATCAGACTGGGGTGTTTAGGTAGAATGCATGACCATCCATGATCATAAGCTCAGGGTTAAAAAATTTATTGACATTCACTCTATGCTAAAAAAAGAAGGAAAATAAATTTGATCGTACGATAAAATTCATGGCACTGCACTGCGGCATCTGGAATACCACTTAACAGGGCTCGGCATCCGGCATACTAAAAGGGGGTTGACGAGTCCAAATTTATTTCTCAGGTACCCACCCCCCTATTACCCGACCCTACCCGGGTACCCGCTGAAGGTCTCAAGAGATGGGTACAAAATGTCTGATTCGTTCTGTTTGACCATAGCCCATTTAGATCCACTAATACAATGATTAGGTCATCTATACCCTGAAGTTGAGTGCTTGATAAGTTTTGTCATTAAACAATATATCACGTGACTAACCACGCGTCCGGGTAGTCCTGCAGGTACCCGGGTTCTACTCAGTACCCACCCAACCCGAGTACCCGAGTTACCTGTCCCAGCCCTATTGGCTCCCTCTTGTAGACTCAGTCTTCATATAGAACATGACTCTTCTACTAAACACTGACCACTTGCATGCTCACAGATTCTCCCGTCAGTAGTGATAGCTCATGACAATGTTGATTAATAGAGTAAGATCATTTGACAAGGTGGTGACTAACTGTCACATTAACTGCCTGTAATACATTATGGCCAAATGTCCGACAGCTCTATCGCCTGGTGGAGTGCTTGCTCGTAGTATGACTGCTCACCTGGGCCTGGTTTCACAAACTGACCTAAGCATTAAGACAATCGTAATGCTGAGATCGTTTTGTGGAATAGGCCCTGTGCCAGACTGTGTCTAGCTGTACAAATTACATGTAGTCATGACAACAATTCCATATGTAACATGGACTTTGATAGATGTAGCACTAAGATGGGTTTGTGCATGTGGGCCCAGGCTAGTCTAAGATACCTTGATTGTTAGCTGCGGTAACTGTAGCCCAGGCTAGTCTAAGGTACCTTGATTGTTAGCTGTGGTAACTGTAGCTCAGGCTAGTCTAAGGTACCTTGATTGTTAGCTGTGGTAATTGTAGCTCAGGCTAGTCTAAGGTACCTTGATTGTTAGCTGTGGTAACTGTAGCTCAGGCTAGTCTAAGGTACCTTGATTGTTAGCTGTGGTAACTGTAGCTCAGGCTAGTCTAAGGTACCTTGATTGTTAGCTGCGGTAACTGTAGCCCAGGCTAGTCTAAGGTACCTTGATTGTTAGCTGTGTTAACTGTAGCCCAGGCTAGTCTAAGGTACCTTGATTGTTAGCTGTGGTAATTGTAGCTCAGGCTAGTCTAAGGTACCTTGATTGTTAGCTGTGGTAACTGTAGCCCAGGCTAGTCTAAGGTACCTTGATTGTTAGCTGTGGTAACTGTAGCTCAGGCTAGTCTAAGGTACCTTGATTGTTAGCTGTGGTAATTGTAGCTCAGGCTAGTCTAAGGTACCTTGAATGTCAGCTGCGGTAACTGTAGCTCTGTGTAGCAACAAATCAATATCAAAACCATTTACACAAAGTAGGTCAGAGACATGGTTACCATCCCATAGAGTTGTCCTAATAGATCCCCGATCCAAATCTGCATCTCACTCTATATGGCCAGCAAAGTGCAAGCTTCATGATCTAATGACAAATGCAACATAATTCACGTCCAAATACACCTTAAAAAACGAGTACTTATATTTTAGATCGTGCAAAAATATATATACTTACCTTGATGGAAACGAAACCGATAGAGATTTATTATCCGTCATTGCATTGCGCAATGTTGACCCAAAATCCTCTCTATGGTTCCAACCCCTGAAGTACAGAGAAAGTTGCTTGAACGAAAATATAAGTACACATATTTAAAGGCGAGTGTTTTAGGAAGCGAATCACATTGAAGTTTTCGTGGGATTACAATTCATGTACAGGGGGTCAGGGGTCATGCAGGGTTGTGAGGAATGCTTGGAATCGGGGAAACTGTCAGGAAAACACTGAGGACAGCCCGTAGCTCCGTGTAGCGGCAAGTCATATATTTATATCTAAATCGTTTATAGGGAGGAACACAGAGGTACAGTTTCCACAGTTTCTTCATTGGCAGACTTCCAGCATTTGGAATGACTTAAAGCACTGATATGATGGTAGTGACTGCAATAATGATGATAATATGTCATTTTGTGGTGTTCAACATGATGAAGCCAAATGTTTTTTTCTTACTTGGATCAAGCATCTGCCCACCCACCTCTGTTAAGGAATTTCGATAATTGACTTGGCTAAAAGTTTGAAACTTTTGTCAGTAAGTGTTAATGTATTCATACCAAAAGACACAAGGGTGAGATCCTATTTGTCATCCCAAATTATTCTTCCAACTTTTTCCGTTTATAAATAGTAATTACCATTAACCAGTGAACTCAACGAAAAGAAACACATAAGCTTCAGAGGCAGAGACATATGTGATGTAATTTGATTGTGATGTCATGGTAACCGATGGTGTCATAATGGTCTGCAAAGCAGTGTGATGCAATTTCATAGTTGAGATATCTCTTGTGGAAGCCAGTTTTGGATGATAAACCTCACTCACTCACTCACTCACTCTTGTTACACCCACCCGCCCGCTGGCCCACCAACCCACCTACTCACTCACTCACTCACTCTTGTTACACCCACCCGCACGCTGGCCCACCAACCCACCTACTCACTCACTCACTCACTCACTCACTCACTCACCAGACTTGCTCTTGTTACACTGTATAAATGTTTGATGTTTGACTGTGACGTGCAAGGTTTCCTCAAACTAGACCTGTTTGTTCAATGTAGTTAAACAATTGCCCAGCTTACATCACAGCTCATGTGCGTGTGGAACAATACCAGGTATGTTATTCGCATAAACACCCTGGTTGCCAAGGATGATCTGTGTTTTGAGGGATGTCTTCTTTGTGTAGGGGTAGAGTAACCCGAGACGACACAATACAATGACCATGACGATGGTATTATTGAAGTCATTAATTACAATCGAATCATCATGTCATAGTATTACATCATCATCATCATCATCATCATCATCATCATCATATATCAGGGGCATGGGTGGCGCAATTCGCTGTGCAGAGTTGCGTCTCTTGCGTACGCCAGAAACCTATGATCATGATTATGATTCTAGGTTCGGCAGCATCATACCCCTGATTGTGGGTTTCACCAAAGTGGTAAACGTTATTTTGGGCTCTCCTCTCACATTAAAGTGACACGCCCTGATATGAGTTGAAAACTGTTCAAAGTGACGATAACCCAAATTATCAATAGTTCGGTATGAGTTTTCATTATTCAAGGTGGGAAATAAACCTAGTAAAACCCACTTTACACAACTGTGGCATGTTGATATTATTTCCATCTAGGGTATATAGCGATTTAGTACGTGGCTGATATTAGTTACAGTGTTCACTGCCATATGCTTGCATTTATCATAGTGATAGTCTGTTTATACCAGGTAACTGTACATCCTTGTTGATACAGCTGAACCCGCTATTCCTGTGCTATGTATTTACTGTGACCCAGCTTTCAGCTTCAGATCTACAAGTGTGTTGTCGGCGGTGATACGTTAGACAAGGTTTTAGACAGGTAGAAAGAGTCTGCCCTTAATAGATGCTGACCTGTATAAGTCTCAAGCTTTTGTTAAGGCAGATCTTTTAAAAAACCCAATAGGTTTTTTGTTCATTTTAAAAAACACTGATTATATGGCTCTCTGCATCCTGCCGTGAATTTGGAAGAAAAACATGAATCTATAGGACACTGGTTATGTCCTGGTGTTAAATGTATATTTGAGTTCTTTGCTGGTTGGTGTTCATTAAACTGGTTATATTTTACACTTTCATTCTATCAGATGTTATGGCAATTCTCAGAACTTACATTGTATTTCCAACTCGTTAACCAAATTTACGTCCACTAGTGGGATTTGGGGGTCATACTTTCCCCAAAAGTTTGGAAATTAGATGCTCTTTTCTGCATTTTGGGACCGGTATATTAGATTTTATATGTAACAAATAATGTTTTGTTGTTATTTTCTTTTTAGTAATACCGTATTCGACGTAATAAGGGCCCAGGGTGCTCTCAAAATTACAAATAGGGGCTCTTATTAGAATATTATTTTGGTGGAAAAAACAGAGTTGAAAGATAAATTTCGTGGTTTATGCTGACAGCCTGAAATGTTTATGTACGACAGATATATTTTTCCAGAATTTAATTGCCCATAATTAAGGGTGCATATAACACACGATTGCGTATTATACGCGAATATAAAAGTCTTGTGTACATTGATCAATCGGAAGGGGTGCTAATTGAGATTGTTCACTAGCTAATATGTTAGCAGTTATCGCCATGGGCGCTTATTACGTCGAATACGGTATTCCAAAAACATCTATGAAGACAAATGAACTAAAAACGAATAAATAATATATTTTATTTGTTTTTACATGTTCATTCATTGTATGTGTTGGTTATTTAGTTTTTCATATTTTAACACTAGCCGAACTTATCATTATGATGAAAACAACTTACAGCCAGGTTACAGTAATATTTCAAATATAAGTTCACTGTGTAAAAAGATATGTTGGTACACATTATTTATTCTAGTCATACACATATTGTTGGTTTGGCAGTGGCTATGTATTATAGCCCTCCAAATAAACACAGACGATAAGCTGCATTAATACCATGTTTACTCTTTCGAAGGTAGAGCGTGAATGCCACAGGTCAAGGTGTCAAGGTCATTGCCTGTCTCGTGCACGATAATGTGACGTCTTCATGTGATGTCATATCTGCACTCCTAGAATGGCGGGAATTCGTTATACTTGACAGGTGGAAATACCAGAATCAGTTGGATTCTATCCTGTGGCAGTTGATTC